TTTTTTTTTTTGTCTGTTCCTTTTTTTTTTCAAGAGATCAAAAAGTGACACAAAATTTTAAAAATTATTACTACTAAGAAAGAAACATAAATATAAAAACAAAATAGGATTTTTTTCCAGAATTATTTTTGTTTGTTTTTAATATTAGTACTACTTTTATTTGGTCTTATTCGTGATTGAAAAACAATAAATTTAACAGCAATAATTTTAAAAAATTTCCATCATGTCTTTAGCACCTTTACAAACTGTTAATGAAAAACAGTTAAATTCAAGGGCAATTCATACACCTATTAAGAAAAATAATTTAATATCAGAAAATAAAGAAAATTTTCATAATAGCAACAATAAAAGACTTGAAAATGGTTTCAATCAAAAACAACCTCCACAAAAGAAGAAAAAAGAAAAATTATCTTCTTTATGTAAGACACCTCCATCTTTAATTAAGACTAGGGGTAAAAATTATCATAGAGGTCATTCATTAGGTGAAGGTGGGTTTGCTCGTTGTTTCCAAATGAAAGATGATGCTGGTAAAATATATGCTGCAAAGACTGTAGCCAAAATTTCAATTAAATCAGAAAAGACAAGAAAAAAATTATTATCTGAAATACAAATTCATAAAAGTATGAAACATACAAATATTGTTCAATTTATTGATTGTTTTGAAGATGACGTTAATGTTTATATTTTACTTGAAATTTGTCCTAATGGTTCATTAATGGATCTTTTAAAGAAAAGAAAATTATTAACTGAACCTGAAGTTAGATTCTTTACTACACAAATATGTGGTGCAATTAAATATATGCATTCAAGAAGAGTAATTCATAGAGATCTTAAATTAGGTAATATTTTCTTTGATAAAGATTTTAATGTAAAAGTTGGTGATTTTGGTTTAGCTGCAACTTTAGGTAATGATAGAGAACGTAAATATACAATTTGTGGTACACCAAATTATATTGCTCCAGAAGTTTTAATGGGTAAACATTCAGGTCATTCTTACGAAGTTGATATCTGGTCTGTTGGTGTTATGATATATGCTTTATTAATTGGTAAACCACCTTTCCAATCGAAGGATGTTAATACAATCTATGAAAGAATTAAATGTCGTGATTTTAGTTTTCCTGCTGAAAAACCAATCTCTTCAGAAGCTAAATTATTAATACAAGATATTTTATCAGTAGATCCTTTAGAAAGACCATCTATTAAAGAAATAATGGATTATTTATGGTTTAGAGGTTGTTTCCCTCCTTTCACAAGAGATGATGTTATGACAACAATACCATGTTATGAAGATGAAATTGGTGAAAATGCATCTATTGTTAATTTTAGATATTGTATGGACACTGTAGGTTTATTAGATTACACATCATATAATCAAAAGAAACAATCGATACCATTAATTAATAACGGTAATAACAATAATAATAATGCCATCGAAGAAGAAATGAATAAATATCATTCGATAACAACTGTTCTTCCACAATCGTTATCACCAGGTGGTACTAGAAATAAATACAAAGAAGTTATAGATATTGAATCACAAAGAAAATTTAATGAATTGGCAAGACAATCCAGACTTCGTAGAGCACAACAAGAATCAATTAAGAAAAATTTAGTACCGACTTCAACAAATACTATTAAATCAGAAATTTCATTAAGAATCTTAGCAAGTGAATGTCATTTAACATTAAATGGTATATTAGAAGCAGAAGCCCAAAAGAAAATGGGTGGTTTAGCACAATCAAGATTACCAAAAGTGAAGCATCCTATGATTGTTACTAAATGGGTTGATTACTCCAATAAACATGGGTTCTCGTATCAATTATCAACAGAAGATATTGGTGTTCTGTTTAATAATGGTTGCACAGTACTAAGATTAGCAGATGCCGAAGAATTCTGGTATATTAGTTATGATAATAAAGAAGGTTGGATTGCAAGTCATTACCTACTAAATGAAAGACCAAAAGAATTGAATAGATATCTCGAAGTGGTTGATTTTTTCGCAACATATATGAGAGCAAATTTAAGTCGTGTCTCTACATTTGGTCGTGAAGAATATCATAAGGATGATGTCTTCTTAAGAAGATATACAAGATTTAAACCATTCGTTATGTTTGAATTGAGTGATGGTACATTCCAATTCAACTTCAAAGATCATCATAAATTGGCTGTCTCAGAAGGTGGTAAATTGGTAACATATATTTCACCATCACATGAAAGTTTTACATACCCATTAGTTGAAGTCTTAAAGACTGGAAATATTCCAAATTATCCAGAATGTAAGTTTATGGAGAAATTAACAATGATCAAGGAAGGTCTAAAACAAAAATCAGCCATCGTAAGAGTCGAACAAACAGAAGTATAATTTTCATTCCCTTATCTGCATTAATTTAATAAAAGCAAAAAAATATTTCAAATTCTACTACAAAGAGAGATTGATTTGTTACTATCGCGTTTCTTTCATCTTCCTCTGCCTTTACTTTTTTTCACATTGCATTAAAAATTTTCTGAAATAATACCATATTAATATTCACATCCTAAAATAACTACATCCATTCCTTTATATATATAGAAATGTATTTATATATCTAATTTTTATATCGTTGAGTTATAACTTAGGAAACTCAAGAAAATCTAACATAATAATTTCATTTTTTTTATACTTTGTTGTAAATTTTTAACTTTGGAAGCGATATGAAACTGTAAAAAATGACATACTTCAGTAAACAAAAAAACAATAGTGATAAAATATCAGCTCAGAAGCAATAACATTAAGTCTAATGGAAAGTTCTTATTTTTAATTAATTGGGAATTCTGTTATAAATATAACCTCTTGGAGGTTATATTTGAGGGATTATGGGAAAATTTTGATCTTTTAGTTTTAATCGTTTATACTGCCTTGATCAACTTGTTGAATTAGAGGATAACTACAATGTATGTAAAATATGACCATTTGACTCAAACATCTTAATATTTCAAGGTCCATACCTACATATAGAATATATAAATATTTATCGGAGTAAGAAGAAATCTTATCCAGTGTTTTCATTAATTAAAAAAGGAATACTTAAAGAAATGACAAACTAACTAAATTTGTACTCGTATACATTAATATAAACAGACAAATAGTCACCCATCTAACACCCAAAACTCACAGTTTAGAGAGCTATTTAGTTCCAACTCTGTTTTTGTTGATTTCTTAATCAGATGGTGTGCGCCGTAACATTTTTTTCAGTTCAGGTGATTAAAGAAGATATTACTTAGGCCTAGGTTTAATATAACTTCATGCACTCTTATTCATTCACAATTAGAGAGCAAACTAACGTTTTTAGGTAGTTAGCTATCTTGTTAAAACAAGTTTGAATGAAGTAGGTTAGAAGATAACATTTTTTGGGAAGATTAAATCCTTAAAAGCTTACATTCGTTCGATTGATCGGGTTACATTCAAAAATTTGGGAAACAAAAGAGAAAAATTCTTTTGTTACTTTCTGTTTTCCTTATCTCCTTCTTTTCGGATATTTCCTTTCGTAATTTGCTTTACGAGTTACACAACCTAGGCATTTAACTCTTTTGACAAACAATTTAACATATATTTAATTATAATCGTTTAAAAGAAATGTTTTAAAACTAAAATCTATGCATGTTATATTACGGATATACTTGAGACATTGTAGGATGGGTAAATATAAACATATATTCTCTCAAAGATTCAATGACCGGATATTTTCTATTTGAGATATAACTCAAATATAAATGGTTTATCATTAATTATGTTTAATAAACAGTGAGCAATAAAATGGACAAATTTTGGTCTAATTTACTAGTAAAATGAAATAACCTTCGTACAGAATGATATTAAAAAGCTAGGTATAGAAGGGTTATAGAATTTCGTTTTTTTCATAAATTTAGCTTTTATGGCCAAGTTGGTAAGGCGCCACACTAGTAATGTGGAGATCCTCGGTTCAACTCCGAGTGAAAGCATTTTTTGTTCGTTCAAATGCTGAATATATTTCAGAGATGATACTATTATCAGTATAACGAATGTCATTAAATTTTTGTTTTAACTAGAAAAATTAGAACTTAAAAAACTCACAACTTTACGAATTGCCATTATGTGGGCTTACATCAACAGAAGTATCGTAAGAGTTTCAAGAGTGCCTGTTCCTTGTGTAGAGAGTAAAGACATTTATTTTGAACTGTGCAGGAGATTCTTTATTTAAGTGCTAATTCATCAAAAAATGTTGATAATATATATAAATCTATAAAGGTTTTTTTAAGATATCTGTAACAGTGCTATATCATATTTTCCAAATTTGAATTTCAGGATGATAACTGGCCCACTTGTGCCTATTTACTTTATGTTTGAATCATAACAGGAAGCATATAAGTATGAACATACGTATAACTTTTAATTAAACCTGTTAGGTGACATAATGCCGCCACAACGACTAAAACATGGAAAATTTGATGTGAATGACCCCACATATCATAGTGACCTGGATTAAATTTTTCAGGAAGTCTTCCACCGTAAAGGAAGGCACCAAATATATAGAAGACCCCTTCTAGTATAATCCATTTAAGTTGAACCCTAGTCCAAGTTTCATGAGAACCATAATGAATCAATCCTGCACCAATTGGAAGGAATGCTGATAAACCAAACAGGACAAACATGGTAGCTCTATAAGGCCGCCATTCTCTTGAACGGAATTTTTCATCTAATGAGACAAAGGCACAAGCAAACCCAAATAATAAGGTAATACTAGAGAAAGTGTAGAACATATATGAATTATCATAGAAACCATAGTAAAGAATACTAACCATAGAAGTCGAAATCAATATAACTATACCTAAATAATCCAATTTATTACCGAATTTTGCCACACCTGGAGAATGACTCTTTAAACAATGAAAGGTACTACTCATTGTCAAACATGCAAAAGCACCAAAAAAGAATAGATCAATAAAAAGATAGTCTGTAATAGTTGTAGTATTGAATTTAGGGACACAATATTTATCAATTAAAATTAGTAATAAAGATATTAAACCGGGGATCAAATGACTATAGATATTCACAGATTCATTATGTAAGTAAAACAAACTATTTATACATTCAGTAAAACTATTAGTTTCTTTAACGTAACCACCATGAATAAATTCATTATCCTTTTGCCAATCTGGGATCTCATGCCAAGTATATAGTTTGCGCTTTGTAGTATGTGTTACTTTAACCTTAGATTGACCATTTTCTGACACTTGTCCATGGCTACTGTTAGTCTTCGGAGTCCTTTTCTGGATGTTTGCAGGCATAACTTTCTGTTTATTTCTGATAACTCCTCTTTCCTGTTCCAAAAATCGATTTGTCCTTACAATATATGTGAATCAAAAAAGAAGGACACAGATAGATTAACGAGCAAAAACTTAACGATTCTCCACACACACACACACACATATATATATACAATCATTTATGCATCTATTAGGATAACCAGACAGGATGTCAGCCAGTCATCCTGACGTTGAACAACGGTATTGTAATCTTGTTGTCCGGGTTTAAGCTATTGTCCTCAACAAAAAAACCGGCTGTTGATGCTACCGAAATCGCAGGAAACTTCAAACGTCGAAAATACAGCAAAAACAAGAGATGAATACTAAGATATGCATAAGAGATAACCTCCGTTTGATGTGTATTCGGTGTATACAGGTGGTGGGTATGGTAATAAATAATATTATAGCTATCAATTAATGCCTAGTTTAATTATATACTACACATAATCTATGAGTAAATAGGTAAGTAAAAACAATTTGGTGATCAGTACACAGCTGGCCATCGCCTTCGAACGTACACCCCAGATTTCAAACAAATGAAACAACATCATGAAACTCCTGAACATGCTTCGTAACTCAAAGGGATCTTCTTTTGCAACTTCTTACTTTGATTAATCCTTTATCTCACCAAGAAGAGCAGCTCATCGCCTACATTTTTTCTTTCGTTTCACTGAAATTTTTCAGTTTTCTCTTCCTAACGGGATGTCGCTGTAATCGTAGAAAATTTTTTTTTCAGTCAATTTTATAAAAGATTTGGTTATCAAGTAGATGAGAAGGCATCGGTAGTTGAAAATAATGCATTTATGGGAAACTTTGATAAAAAGAAATAAGCTACTTAGTTCAACTGCCAAACATTATTCATCACTTATTGTTTTTATTTGAATATAGACTCTATAAGCAGTTAACAAATATTTTATTTTTCAATTTCGTTACAACAAGATGAGTCCCGAAGAACGTAAAGCTCTATTTGCCAATGTCGTCGGTGTTGTGAGAGGTTCTTCAGCACTAGCTGCTCAAGATATTGAGTTCTATAGGACACTGGACAAAGATGTTAATACATCGGTGTCAGAAGTCACTTCTGAACTAGTTTCCATGATCAATTCGGTTCTATCCTCCATTGATGAACATTGTGAACCCTTGGACAATAATTCAGATTCATTTAGTAACTCTTGGGAAGATGTAAGTAATATGATAGATAATCTATTCGAACAATCTGACCGTTCATTAGACATTTTAAACAAAAGATTGAGTGTCTCTGGAGATAAATTAAATGGTCAAAATATGCAATTCCTTGATCAATTTGGTGGGAATGAAGAAGGTGGGAAAGCTAAGATTGAAAAACCCCAACTAAAGTTTAAGACTCCAATAGATAATAGTGAATCACATCCTTTCCATCCATTACTTAAGGAAAAACCAAATGCCTTGATACCTTTAGAAGAATCTGTCGTCTTAGTTCCTGGTAAAGAAGATGAACCTGAACATTATAAACATCCATACGAGTACGAGATTGATCATCAAGAATATAATCCTGAAATATTGAAAACTGAAGAACCGATTCCATCTACGAACTGGGATGAATCAGATGCTATGTGGGTGGATAACACAGAGACTTTACAACAAATGATAACAGAATTAAAACCTTTTAAAGAACTAGCTATTGATTTAGAACATCATGATTATAGAAGTTATTATGGTATTGTGTGTCTAATGCAAATCAGTACAAGAGAAATGGATTATTTAATAGATACTTTGAGTCTGAGAGAAGAATTACATATGTTAAATGAAATTTTTACTGATCCTCAAGTTACAAAAGTACTACATGGTGCATTCATGGATATAATTTGGTTACAACGTGATTTAGGTTTATATATTGTCAGTTTGTTTGATACATTCCATGCTTCTAAAGCAATGGGTTTACCAAGACATAGTCTTGCATATCTATTAGAGAAATTTGCTCACTTCAAGACATCAAAGAAATATCAATTATCAGACTGGAGAACAAGACCATTAACCAAGGGTAAGACTGCATATGCGAGAGCAGATACTCATTTCTTATTAAACATCTTTGATCAAATGAGAAATAAATTGGTAGAATCAAGTAAGTTAGCTGGTGTTTTAAGAGATTCCAGAGAAGTCGCAAAGAGAAGATTTGAATATTCCAAGTTTAGACCAACACATTTTTCTAACACTGTCTATTCTACTACATCAGATCAATATCCATGGAAAAATATCATGTTTAAATATAATATCCCTAAGGACAAAGAATTATTGGTCAAAGAATTGTACAATTGGAGGGATCTAATTTCTAAGCGTGATGATGAATCTCCAAGATATGTTATGCCCAATCAAATTATTGCTTCTTTAGTTGCATACACCCCTACCGATGCCGTTGGTGTTGTTTCTGTCAACAATATGATAACCGATTACGTAAGGTCTAATTCTAAGATATTAGCTAACATGATTAAGGACTGTCTAGTTAAAATGAAAGAACAAGGTACGAACTTATCAGGGGAAAACGTTTCGATCTCAGAGACAGTAGACTCTAATAATAATGATAGTAATGCAGCTAATAAAGTATCGATATCTCAAATACAATCTTTGAATAGTATTTTTGATACGTTAATGAACGATATCAATACAGTCACACCAAATGCTGTAAATAATACGAATGAGGTATTGACAACATCAAAATATTTTGGGGAATTGTTAAATGGTAAAGTGATTAAATACGGCGAAACAGATAATGGTGACAAAACTGAAATATCGAATAATGAATTAAAAGATCGTAAATTAGAATATAACAAACAGTCAAGCTTATTAGAGGACATTGATCTAGAAATACCAGTTATTAATAAAGAACCTACATTTGAATTAGAACAAGAAACTTCTGAGGAGAAACTAAATGAAGTGTCTGTTGAGAAGATGGAAGAGACCTTGGTACCAATGGAGGACTTGGATGAAATTATTGTTCTTAGAGAGGGTAAGAGAGGTAACAACAACAACAACAAATCACAAAAGACAAAAGAAAAGAACACCAATGGTGGAGAATTGGAGACTGTTGACTATAGTAAAAGTACCAAATTATTATCAAATGAGAACAAAAAGAGAAAGAGAAAGAATAATAAGCACAAATTTGATCCATTCTCTTCTATTGAAGAAGGCCCTAAGGGTATCAAGAAGAGAAAAGCTGGAACTAGAGGTAAAAATGTATCATTCAAGCGTTAGATGCACATAGTTTTGCTCCGCTAGACTTTTCTAAAAGGAAGATAATTATTTTTTTTTCTTTGAAGAAGAAATATACATACATACATATATACATACATACATACATACATAGTCCACTAAAGTGGCCATTCAGCATATATTAGTTTTTGTGTATTAATACATTAGAAATACATTTTCTTATTATTTTTAAGTGAAAATTGCAAAATGAGAGATAGGGAATCAATATGTTGTATTTAACACTATTTAATTTCAACAACTACAAGAATTAGTATCGTTATCTAGTTGAATATTTATAGCGTCATTGAAATCATCTTCAAAGGCGTCAGCATCATTTTGATTTTGTTGTAAAGCACTACGTGCAATTTCTTGAAATGCTGTATCTACATTGATAGCAGTCTTTGCACTAGTGAAAAATAATGGGATATTACCTAAGGATGCTGCTAAATCCTGAGCAGCTTTGTTACTAACCACTTTCTTTGAGTCATCTGCATCGATCTTATTACCTAATAAAACAAATGGGAAAGTTTCAGGAGATGAGACATTTGCATGAACCAAAAATTCGTCTCTCCAAGATTTTATATTTTGAAATGATTTTGTATTCGTTACATCATAGACTAACACACAACAGTCTGCACCTCTATAGAAGGCTACACCTAAAGATTGGAATCTTTCTTGACCTGCTGTATCCCAAACTTGCATAGTAGCGATTTTATCGCTATCTATATTGACCTCTTTCGTTAAAAAATCGGCACCTATTGTTGCCTTATATTGTTGAGAATATTTATCGTTAACATATCTATGCATTAGTGAGGTCTTACCAACACCAGAATCCCCCAGTATTATGACTTTAAGAATATTTTTTTTTCTTGTAGACATCTTTTAATATATATATATATTCTTTATTATGTTATTATAACTCTGTATTAATGTCTTACGGAATTCCCTTTAAATAATAGCTGCTATTGTTGCAAAACACACACACAGAAAAACCAAACGAAATAGATATAAATAAAGAGAAATAAACAGATTTTTACTTTGTAGCTGTACAAATATCCGAGTTAACAATTGTTTGAAGTACTTCTTTTAATGTTTACGGGTTACTTTATATGTTTGTTAAAAGCTATCATGCAAACTGTTTTCTTTTTTTTTCGATTCAATAGTTAGTACATTGTGCTATTAATTTACATTAAACTAAAAAATAATTTTGTATATATTTTATCACGCATCGTCATCTTATCCACCGTTCTTTAAGAAAAGCACCTGGTCAATTCGGCTCCTTCTGTACAAAAGCAGCCAAATAGCCAAAATTGCGAACGCAAATTTCTAAATTTTTAATTCTTCTTCCCCGCGCGCACATTCNTTTTTTTTTTTTTTTTTTGATTTATTTATTCATATATAACTTTAAGTAAAATTGATAATTTGCAAATTGTCGTTTTTAGTAAACAAATTTTTCCTCATTTGTCTCCTTCTACACATTTTTGCGTTTTCTGATGATAGTTGTTTAACAAACGGTTGTAATTGTGGTGGATTATGCGCACATCTTTGCATAAATGAACGCCAGTTTGTATTTTGTTCATCAATATATAATATAGGTCCGTTAACTAATTGAACTATTTCACCTCCATCAACTAACTGAACTGGTTCACATCCCCCAGCTTGTTTACCTTGAAATATTGTAGCTTGTTCTTTACCTTTCACTAACTGTTTGTTTAGTTTCCAATTGAATTGGAATTTTCTAAATGATTCAAATATATTGTGACACTTCAGTTTGACATGACGCTTAAATTCTTGATATGAATGATTCATATACGATAGAAGTTGTAATTTAAAATCGGAAAACATCAATAAAAGAAAGACCGTAGCTTTGCTAAGTTATGAATTATCAATGGAATACGTTTAATTCAAAAATCTTTTCACCTTCTTCTTTTATTTTTGTAGTTTCAAGAAATAGATATCTTTATATAAACACGACCACCATTCCTGTGACGTTGTGACACTTCTTGAAAGAGGAAAATTTTTTAACAAGAGCAATAAGTTAATTTTTTCAATACTATAGTAATGCTATAGATTGAAACCAATAAGTACACTCGACACTCTTGCACTTTCAACAAAAAACTCTCTTTCCTACCAACCTACATATATATACAAAAGCATTTAAGTCGCGAGATGTTAGGAAGTAAAAAGTCACATATTGGGACCAATACCATTCAAATAATTGAATATCTTCCGCGGAGAGCAATATGCCAGTAGACATGTGGTAAAGTCCCCATCTAATATCCTTTAAAAAGATACTCACAAAAAAGCCAGGGCCACACCTCCAATGGAAACAAGATAGCCCATGAAGCAAGGGAAAGTCTTTAGTATACCTCATGGAAGACAGTACGATAACCAAGCTTGCTGTTATTCCCGTTGCTTCTTTATCAAACCAAACTGTGACATTGTTTTGTTAAGACAAAAGATTTTCGACTGACAGCGAATAATGACGGGCAGTGCGTGGTTCGGCTCTCTCCCCACGTGCAGATAGTGCGAAAACATATTATTGTATGCATAATGCGGCAGAAAGTGGAAAGGAACAGTGTCACATTTATATAAAACGAAAGCTTACAATAGCAACAGAGGGAATTCGATTCTATAGGTGTGCATGTTTTACAACTTAGAGGAGATTTTTAATTGTTCAAACACAATTGCATGTGAGGATATGCCTCTGTCCGTCCTTTATCTTGTCATGGCGAATGAGAAGGGCTGTGCATTAGTAGAAAGCTTCCATGGATAGCAGCTCTCATGTTCCTGCTTGAAACACCCAAAGAGGAATAAAAGTTGAATAGCCACGAGGGTTATCTTAAACAGTTAAAAATATATATGACTAATTGAAACAAATAAAGTGCGTTTGTTGTCTTGATTTTAAATAGTTTTCTCATGGTCCAAGATGAACGACCTTTTCACTATATATAAGACCCAAGAAATTCCAATTAAATTAAAATCCAATATACCCTTCAAACTTCTTATCTTCCAATTTTTTTTGTATAACTAGTAACATTGTATAAAACTTCAAAAAAGTAAGAGCAAAATGTCAAATCTTTCAGGTAAAAATAATATAGTTACTAAGGAGAAGGAAGAAGAACAAGAAGAAGAATCTCATATTGATGCTTCACCAACTACAAACTCTAGATATATTACATATGATGCTGAGGCTCGTGCTAATAGGGTCAATGCCACCAAGGAGAACAAATTTAAAAATATGATTACAATCATTGCTTCAGGATTTGCTCTAATTAGTGATGGTTATGTGAATGGATCTATGAGTATGTTAAATAAAGTATTCGCAATGGAATATGGGACAAAAGTGAACTATTCTTCTCAAGTGTCAACAAGAGTTTCTAATGCTTCTTTGGTTGGTATTATTTTTGGTCAATTCTTTATGGGTATTGCCGCAGATTATTACAGTAGAAGATCATGTATCCTGGTTGCGACACTTATTCTGGTAATAGGTAGTGCTCTGTGTGCTGCATCTCATGGTACAACCGTCCCAGGTATGTTTTGGATGCTTACTGTTATGAGAGGGTTAGTGGGTATTGGTGTCGGGTCTGAATACCCAACAAGTACATTAAGTGCAAATGAGTCAGCCAACGAATACACTACTAAGAGAAGAGGAGGTATCTTGGTCCTAGTTACTAACTTTCCTCTAGCTTTTGGTGGCCCATTTTCATCTATTATTTTCTTAATTGTTTTCAAGATTTGCAAAGGTACTAAACATCTTGAAGCTTTATGGAGGACTATTTTTGCTCTAGGTTGCTTTTGGCCTTTGACAGTTTTCTATTTTCGTTGGAAGACCGCCACCACTGAAATATATGAGAAAGGTAGAATTAAGAGAAAGATTCCTTATTTTTTAGCACTAAAATTTTATTGGAAAAGATTACTAGGTACTTGTGGTACTTGGTTCATGTACGATTTTGTTACTTTCCCCAACGGTATCTTTTCCTCTACAATTATTGGATCCGTCATAAAGGATAAAAATGATTTAGAAAAGATAGCAGAATGGAATCTATTATTAGGTGTCTTATCATGTCTTGGTGTCCCAATCGGTGCTTATCTTTCTGACCGTATTGGTAGAAAATATACTCTAATGATTGGGTTTTCTGGTTATATAATTTTTGGTTTAATCATTGGTTGTGCCTATGAACAGATATCAAAGATTACCCCATTATTCATTATCTTTTATGCATTAATGAATATGCTAGGTAACGCAGGTCCTGGGGATATGCTTGGTGTTATCAGTAGTGAATCATCAGCTACTGCGGTAAGAGGTGTCTTTTATGGTATTTCTGCTGTTACAGGGAAAATTGGTTCAGTTGTTGGTGTAGAATGTTTCCAACCAATCAGAAATCATCTAGGAGCAAGATGGACATTTATTATTGCAGCAATATGTGGTTTATTAGGTGTATTGATCACTTTTTTCTTAGTGCCTCATTCTCTGGAGAGTGATTTAATGAAACAAGATGTGGAGTTTCATAATTACTTAGTAGCTCAGGGCTGGACAGGTAAGATGGGTTTTGATGAGGATATGGAAACAAGTGAAGATGAACCTTTAGAATGTAATGTTGAATGGGAGGCCGATACAAAGAAAAACGGCGAAGTAGTCACCGTGAGACAAATAGACCCTTAGAATTTTAAAAACCAATATATTTAACATCAACCTTCAATCAAGACTAGAAAACTGTCTTTTTTATGAAGCCCAAAGCTTATTCAATTTAAATCAAATCCTTTTTTTATATGACTATTCTAATTTATTTAGTATTAATTATTTAATCTTAGCTATAAAACCTTGTCAGATTTTCATGCATTGGCAAAAAAACATTAATAAGAATAGACCCATTCATTGATCTGATTCACATGACTTCAAAATATTTGATGAAGAGGATATATAATGGGAAAACTCTTGTTCAAGGTCTCATTGAGATCTACAATGTGTTCTTGACTTATTATTTAATACTTCCAGTTTGTAAGCTATCTAAAATATATTCAAGAATCAAACAGTTCTTAAATAAAACACCCTAGATCAAAATATACCATTCAACAACATTCTAGAGAGTCTGCCTAACTCCAAAAAATCGACTCAAACCCTCTACATATATAGATCATTTCAAGATATACTGCGATAGAGGCTCTAAATAACAAAGTTAGATAGTAGGCACGCCAAAAGTTGGTTGGTGAACATACAGAGTAATACTTCATGAAAATTTTCTAAATATTCTTGCTAGTTAAATAAAAATTCCTTTTCAATGTCAAAAGAAAGGTTTAAACAATATTATTAAACCAAAAAATCATTTGTGAGGTATCATCTAATTAAGTCTAATATATTGAAGAAAAATTCTTCCAACTCTATTTTTGTTTTCAAACCATATCTAGAAATCAAATTTATCCACATATTTATACAATCCTATAGTAAACTATGAAAAACCCGCCATGATATACATATAATCTATGGAGTATCGTATAAAGTATCTTCAAAATTATACTTCATCAAAAGAACTCTACTTTTGCTACCCATCAAGGAATAGTTTTCAGCGTTAATTAAGATTAATTTTCTGAAATATTTTAGAAACATGACTTCAAAGGAGGTTCTAAATATTCAATAAGTAATCCCGAAACTTCTTATGTATTAATTGGGACTTTAAGGTTCAGCCGCACGATTATAATAATTATCATCTTGTACGGACATCAACAAATGTCGATGCGAGAATAACAAATATAAGATGAAATTAAGTCAAAGATAACACATGTAACATACAACTATATAATATTGTTGGATATTTGAATTATTAGAGGAATCCATTTCTTTAATATGGTACAAAATTTATTTTATTAGAAATCAACGTATAGTCGTCTGATTTCTTTAGTATACAAATTATAAATAATATACAAAATAGTCAGGGAAATAAAATATTCCAATGTATGAAATATTGTTCCCTTTATATACCTTTGGATTTGGTTACATTTCGTGATTATAAATCTCCAATACTAGCATTGTAGAAATTATGCATGATTTCCAAATGCGTCTTTTTATTATCTTTTCTCATTTTGGATTGTTAAATATTGAACATTATCAAATATGACAATCTTTATCATTCTTTTATTCTTATATTTTATATTCTTGACGTCATTCTTCTATCATGTAAATTCCGACAAATATACCTTGTAACAAAAAGAAGAGAATATACGAAATATAGATAATTAACATAGTACTTACTATGAATACATTTACTTAATAACGAACAGAACGACCACCATATTGTTGTAGTTAATATACATAATAATAATCACTATTAAGAATTCTATATAGACCAAACAATACACTTAAGTAAAAATTTGAACCATAACAAATAACCAACTATTTAGACAAATGAGCAAAAATCTTGTTCCTCGTGGCCCAATGGTCACGGCGTCTGGCTACGAACCAGAAGATTCCAGGTTCGAGTCCTGGCGGGGAAGGTTTATTTTTTATTTAACTCACGGTTATTATCTTTTCTTTTTATCCAGGTTGATATAGTTACTAGCTCTATTACGATGTTACTTCTTCAATTGAGTAACTTCGTTCCTTCTTAAATTATCTTTTTGTCGTCCTGGGCAAAGTTGATCGCACAGTCTGTCGTTTCAGTTTAATTATTTTTAAAGGAATGCCATCGTTTTTTATGTAAAATCTGGAACAGTTTTTAATATGTTCAATGTTGCAACATAGCTGTGAAAAGTATTAACGTTTTGATAGTATTGCATATATCCACTACTCATGAGTCAATGATTTTCTAGATAAAAACAATAATATTTCGTAGGCAGATGGTTACATATATACAATTTCAGGAGACTATAAGAACTACCAAAAAGGGATTCCATAAAATCTTCTATCATTTAGTGTCAATGAGCACAAGGTTTTGTTCAAAGTGAACAGAAAGCTTCAGTCTGACGTAAAAATCAAATATCGTGTTCAGTGATCCAATATTCTGTGTCCGATTATTTTTTTGTATGGAAACCGAAAAAAGTTAAACCACACGATTCCACGTTGACGAGATAAGTACTTTAACATCAAGAAAACTTTGTTCTTGACAGCAAATGTGTCTGGCAGGTGTTAAAGCTTTTTTAATTATTGTTACATTTAGTTTATTATTTGACTTATTTAATTGTTGGTTCTAGATATTAGTCTTCATTTCACGTAGTAGTGCAATAAAAAAAAATAATATAGTAAAAGAAAAATGTCCTATAGCAACAAAGAAATCTCTTCTTTAATCGTTGATTTCCTAAACAACGCCATTAGCCAAAAGGCCGTTTCAGATGACAATGCTGATTCTCTGAACGTTGCCATTGACTGTATCACTGAAGCATTTGAATTTGACAGAGACGATGTTAAATCTATTATTGATTCCAAATTTAACGGTAAATCGTTGGCTGAGCTTCTAGCTTCTGGTTCAAACTCAACTGATTCAGGTAATGCCCAAAATGTTAAAGTTAACATTCCTGCTGAAGATGCTGAAATCAAAACCAAGGCTGAATCCCTTAAATTGGAAGGTAACAAAGCCATGGCTGGTAGGGATTTCTCATTAGCTATTGAAAAATACAGTGAAGCTATTCAAACATTACCAACTAATGCTATCTATTATGCTAACAGAGCTGCTGCCCATTCTTCTTTAAAGCAATATAATGAAGCTATTCAAGATGCCGAAGAAGCTATTAAGATCGACCCTGCTTACTCTAAGGGTTACTCTAGACTTGGTTTTGCCAAATACGCTCAAGGGAAACCAGAAGAAGCACTAGAAGCTTACAAACAAGTATTAGATATTGAAGGTGATAAGGCCACCGATGTAATGAAGAGAGATTATGAAACAGCCAAGAAGAAGGTTGAACAATCCTTGAATCTAGAAAAGACAACACAAGTTGAAACAACCGAAAATAGAGATGCTCCAGAGGCTACTTCTGACAATGCTGAAGGTGCTGCTAACCCATTCGCTGGTGGTATGCCAGATATGGCTTCAATGCTAGGTGGTGGTCTAGGTGGTGGTCTAGGTGGTTTATTAAACAACCCACAATTAATGCAAGCAGCACAACAAATGATGAGTGATCCAAATGCTATGCAAAAAGTACAATCTATGATGCAAAACCCTGCCGTTAGACAAATGGCAGAAAATTTCTCCGGTGGTAATGGTGGTATGCCAAACTTGGATGATTTGATGAATAACCCAGCTATCAGAGACATGGCTGGTAGTCTGTTTGGTGGTGCTAATGGTGGTAACCAAAGTCCTGCCAAAGAAGACGAGCAAAAATAGTGTGATATATAATAAATAAATCTATATGTATGTTTATGAATACCTAAAACAATAAAAACAACGCCAATCTTTTTATTAATGATTTAAATAAAGGTTATAATTCCTCTTTTACAAATGCTTCTATAAAATAAATAAAGTGGGATCATACCTTGTGAAATTTACTTTCGTATACTTGATATTTTTTGGTCATCCATAGTAAATTTTCGCTAAGGTTATATAAATTGTCCTTTATGTTCCTCTCAACAAATCCAGCTTGCAGGAAAGGTTCTTTAAAGTTCATAAAATTGCTTAATTCTTCAGCTAGTAGTTCATGACTCTGCGCTATTTCTGTCCCTAATTTCTTCATTGATAATGATATATCATGACATGTTCGTAGGAGTTTCTGTTCATTTTTTATCCTTTGTCCTTCAAGGAAATTCCCGAATACTCCACTATTAATACTTTCTGATATATTTCGATTCGGTTCTGATAAATTCATATCATTACTTGATGATTGTGGCATACTTTTCATTAACATCCTATTAACTTCTAATAACTCACCGTAATTCTTCCACCATTTTAGGATCTGGTGATCTAGCAAATATTCAATATTTTTATATAACACATTGATACTGTTTTCGTAAAATTCTAAGTTAGCTAGAGTAAAGTTTAGTGATATATCATTCATATCATTTACAATTTCCGTCTTACTGATATCTGATATGATTCTAAACTGTTTCCGAATAACATGATTATCTAGGTCATGTGCAATATACTTTATGTTATCTAAAGATATATTACAATCTTCGTTTTTCAAGTTTCGAAATATCAAAAGTTTCTCGAGTGTATATATAATGTTTTTCAATTTTGCAAGCTCCTGCAGGTTGAATTTCAAAAAATGTTTTATGGCATTGATTCCTTCAGGTTCAACATCTACTATTTTCTCTAGTTTTGGTGTTACACTCAAATCATCTTTAGATTGCTTTATCCACAATAAAATGTTGGTATCATTTTCGAAAATATGTTTAGGAATATATCCTATTTCAATTAAAGTATCAAGACAATTCGTCATATTTACAAGCAATTGTTCTCGATTTTGAAGCCTATGAAATGCAGTCAGATTATTTATCATCCAATTGTCAGTTGACATATTCAATAGTGAATTTATTTGGGTCAAAACACCTTCTATTGGAACAAACGTCAACGGCTTCTTTTTCAAAATGAGTTTAAGAATATTTTTTAAAACTTTGATATTCAACGAAATATTGAAAAGTTTACCTTCTTCCTGAAACACTGAAATTTGTAGAGAACAAGGCTGAATCAATCCATTCTTTGTTTGATTAGAATATATTCTCAATGAATGACATATACAGTGCTGGAATACAGGTGCATTTTTGATGTGATACCTAGTAAATATCTCCAAAATTTCCGGATTTCTAATATATTCATAACATGTTAAATATTTTTTGGTGTCGTGTTGGTTGAGACAATTAAGCCTTTTATCGTTCAATATGTTTCTAATATTTTCAACCCTATTATATTTAAGATACACCATTAATGGGGTCAAATCCTTCTTATTCTTCTGATTTATGTTTATCAAAATTTTTGAGTCTAATAGCAGTTTCACGTCTGTTTTTATTATATGAAGCAATGTGTTACCATTAGGATCAGTATGATCATTATAGATAAAACCATTCTGAGATTGCATTGCTACTCTAAGTGCCCTGGCTATCATTTCAGAATAACTAAGCTGATCGTAAGATCGAAAAATCGTAAATAAAGGAGTCTTCCCAGTCACATCCTTTAAACTCCAATTAATATATTTTCCTATTTTCTCAACCAGATCACTTTGGTCAGAAAGATAATGACCAACAGTTCTCTGTGAATTGTTTTGCTTGTTTAAATATGTCTTTATCTCATATGCTGTGCAATTATCCAAAAATATATTTACTAATAAGGCAGTGACGTCGTGATTACCATGTTTAAGAGTCTGAAGTAATAATGTGTCTCCTTCAATATTTGTATCGTCTAATAGATCATCTAGAGTGATATCATTTTGGAAATTGTCTAGCAGTTGTTCAACCAGATTCATCTTAAAATTAGAGACACAAAGACTTAGAATTGATTCTCCCTTTTCAGTTCTATAGTTTAACACATCTCTATATTCATTTAAGTTTAATATTTCCTTTGACTTGCTCTCATCTTTAATAAATTCAATTAAATCTTTTATCTTTGTTTCCTGAACTTGCTTCAGATGTAAAAACTTTCCATTATCAGCATCTTCCAAATAGAAAGCGACAGCTTCTAAAGTAGAGATCGAATAACCTAAAATACCAAATTTCGTGGGGTTAGAGCCATCGTCACTATAATAAAAATTCTGTAGATATTGGATATGACACCTTAAATTTCTTGTCTGTGTCTTATTGATCACCAAAACTAACAAACTCAGAAGGGTATCCGCATCAATTGGGAGGTCTTCTAGAGGTGTCGATAAAATTTGTAATGTCTGCGTCAGTATCTTTGTCTTTTCAAAGAATGTGTTAGTTTTTTTGAAATTCATAAACATTTCAATTGCCTGCTTTAAATTTTTTTCCAATTTCACAATAAGGGATAACTTAAATTTTTGAAAATCTGTTGCATATAAATCTGTGTCTAGTTGATCAATCGAAAGATAATCTAAACTATAAAATACCTCAGATAATTCAGACTTCTCATTCCCTTCCCGTGTTTGCAATTCGTTCCATATAGCACCGTATAATTTTTCTTCCATGTAATCCTGTATCACCCTAGGAAGTTCGGGACCAATGGGTTTGAATAGAATTTCCTCTTTAGCAATAGTTATTGAATTACTTACCATTGTCTGAAATGTATTGGATAATGCGTTTAAGTTATTTATAGGATTTCCATTTTTGGTGGTACTTATATCTGATAAAAATTGTTCGAATGTTTCTTTAAAATATTGTACCCATCGCTGATTAGAATGTACAATCTTCTCGAAAGTGGCCCTGTTGTGTTGAGATATATCTTGGCTCAAAGTATTTATTTTTTGATCATTAGAAGTTAAGTTGTTAGTTGTTCCCATTGAATAAGAATGATTTTTGATAAAATAAGAAGCACAAGGTATTATTCTCTTTGGGTCTACTAGAGGTTGATCTATGAATATGGTAGTATAGTATTTATCGGGGAAATAATCATTAAAATTAGTCAATGTAGTTACTTTCAAAATCTTAAATTTCCTATCTATATGGGAGTCATTAGTCACGTACAATGATTTTTTACTAAAATCTACACTTAGGGAAAGATTATTCAATGTTTCAAAATCGTATTTGACTTCATTGCTATGTATTAAAGGATTCAAATTTTTATATTTCTGATCCAATTGAATGATATGTGCAGACATAAAAGGAATATCATAATGACATAAATCATAAAGTTTTGTATTTGAATGAACATCCTTGAAGTTATACAATATGTGTGACGGTGGGACTAATAATGCAAATTTTTGGGAATCCTTTTTATTAATCTTATTAAATATCTTTTTCAGTGGGAAAGACGAGGGATCTGGACAATTGAATAAAGAATTCAACAGAGGATTGAGAAGCACAGTTAGATGTGATTTAGTTTGCGTACCTGACTCATTTATCTTCGTGAATGTGGCAGTATGTAATGAATCTTCTGACATCACAGGTTCATCTGTCGAAAATACCGTCTAATTGCAATTTAAAAAAAAAAAGTGAGCCCACAAGTAACAAAAATTAAGTCTCTTGTAAAAAATATCTTATTAGCTAAAATAATCAAATTCAAACAGCCAACTGTTTCCATTTGGTGGCGATAATACCTTACTTTATAAGCCTCTAATGCTTATAACTAATGGTGGCTATGACTAGAGATGACCCTATTTCTGTAATTCTTATTGTGATGAGCCGAAATTGCAATGGCCGTAATGAAAAATTTATTGCAAATAATATATAATTTGAATGGGAAACTGATAATTTAATCAATAGACACAAAAGGAACTTCCCTTTCTTTATAACAAGAGTATCCATTTCGACATATACACTCTAGGACAGACTATTAGACTTAACTAAATTTTTCATAAAAAAATGGCTAAAGGTAAGAACAAAACGAGAGAAGGTGGGAACACCAGATCCAATAACTCGAGAGGCTCGAATGGTCATCATTCAAAACAGAATCACAAATCTGCAGAGTTCAAACATAACCAAACACATACAACCAACAAGTTCCCAACGAAGCTAGCTATGTGGGATTTTGACCATTGTGATCCTAAACGTTGTAGTGGTAAGAAACTTGAACGTCTAGGACTAATCTCATCTCTACGTGTTGGTCAGAAGTTCCAAGGTATTGTGGTTTCTCCTAATGGGAAAGGTGTTGTATGTCCAGATGATCTTCCTATTGTCGAAGAGTTTGGTGCCTCAGTGGTTGAATGTTCGTGGGCCCGTTTAGATGAAGTGCCGTTCAATAAGATTGGTGGGAAACATGAAAGATTATTGCCATATTTAGTCGCTGCAAACCAAGTGAACTATGGTAGACCTTGGAGACTGAATTGTGTAGAGGCTCTAGCAGCATGTTTTGCCATCGTCGGAAGAATGGATTGGGCTGCCCAATTATTGGAGAATTTCTCTTGGGGGTTATCATTCTTAGAGATTAATGCTGAATTATTAGAAATATATCAAAAGTGTACAGATGCAGAGTCTGTGAAAAGAGCGGAAGATGCATGGTTGGAAAAGATCGAACAAGAAACACTTGATCGTAAGAAACAATCACAAGAAACTGACTTATGGATGATGGGGAACGTCAACAGAATGAACAAACTAAATATGGATGACAGCGAAGAAGAATCAGCTGAATCCTCAGAAGGAGATGAATATATAGAAGACACTGAAGATGTGGCATATGATGCATTGGGAAACGTTATGCAGAAGAAAGAGGTAAAATATGATTCTCTAGGTAATGCAATCGAGGATGAAGAGCAAGAAACGGAAGTGAAATATGATTCCCTTGGGAATATAATAGAATAATCAGATCACGAAGATGTTCTAAACATTTTCCACATGCATAAAAACATTGTAATTTAGATAGATTGATACATATCATTAATAAGTAAATTTAGTGCCAAGAGATGATTACCCGGGGCTCTCTCTTAAATTTGACGGCGCCATAAACATCTAAGAAATTGATATGAAAGATAGAAGTGTCAAGGCAGATAATATATATATATAAATACAGAGAATATACTAGTTAAAACACATCAAGCAATCGGCAATGCCAAAATACATGCCAATTTAATGATGGATAGACAATTTAAAGGGTTTGAACCTATACACACTGTTTTTTATTCGAATTTTCATCCTACCGAGGGTTCGAAAGTGTGCTATCAATTCCCACCAAATAATCTTCAAAACTATAATATTAACTTCAATTCAGTGAAGAACTACATTATACCGAAACTTCAATTATGTCATAAATTATTGACCATGAAATATGAAAACTACAGGATCGTATCTTATCCCGTTACGGTCAATTCACAATCGTATGCAAGAAACTTCTTCAGTTTTAATTTTGTATTTATATTTCCTTACGACTGTGAAACATCACCATATGAACCAGCTATTGCAAGATTAGCAAAGATGTTTCGTGTATTAGAAGAACAGAATCAAATATTATCACTAGCAGAAAACGATCCTGTATTTTTTAAGGATCCCTCTACTTTATCAAATAAACCGGATTCAAGTTTTTCGATCCAAGATCTTATAATGAGAATTTATCAAGATCTTAATAGTTATTCTGAATGTTTAATCCCAATCAATGATGCAAATACTGTGGATATTAAATTATTTCCTTTAGTACCACCTCCAACTGCGATTCAATTATCTGTAGATGCAGTTCCAATTTCAGTGGTAAATATGAACAAAGTAATAGATTTAAATTGGGATCCAACAATGCTTAACATTCTACCTTTTATTAATGGACTTAATAGTATTTCAAACATTTCAAAATTAAGTGATAGTGACTCAAATTTAGTAATCGAATGCATCAGACATCTTATCTATTATAAATGTGTCATTATAACAGATATTTTTCAGTTTTCAAATATATATGCACCCACAAATTTAATTACTACTTTCTTATCTGATCCCAAACTATCCTATGATTGCCAATTATATGTAACACTACCAAAAAATGCAGATATACTGAAGTTACCATTTAATGAGTTACCCATTTCGAATAGTAACAGTAACCTAACCTCCGCAACAAATCTGGCAAGAGGAGGTACACCGTCTCATAAAAAGACAAGTTCCATGTCATCTCAAAATTCAACGGCCAATAGGCTACTTATGTCCCCTGCACGATCATCCATAACGTCGTCCTCAATCTCATCATTATATCCAAATAGAAAACATTCTGAGAGCTCTTTATCTAGTGATGGACAATTTTTTAGATCATCTGATAAATATAATTATTTACCTACAAGGTCTACATTATTTGATCTATATAGATCATTAAACCATGCGATCACAATACAGACATGGTATGAAAGAAACTATGACATAATTAATACTAATAATATAGATATTAGAAGATTGATTAAATTCGGAATCACAAAAAGATTGATATATAGGGTGTACTCTTATCCTATAATGTCGGACAACAAAATGAAAGATAAAACAACTTTGAAGAAAGGCAATAAAGACAATAAAAACGATTTCCTCCTGTCCACCTCAGATATTAAATTCGATGTTGGAGACAAGTTGTTGAATTCAATTTATAAAAAATTATCGAAGGTATCATTTGATAGTGCTACTCCTTCTCACGATATGCTAGGGAGTACAACAAGTGTAAATAGAACGAAAATAAAAGGCAAGTGTACTCTAGGTGACGCAGAAAGACAATTGCTTATAGAAGCACTGGATAACTTTGAGTCATTTGATAAAATATGTGTTAGGCTAGGGAAACCTAGAGCTGAAGTTGAATTGTTGCTTCGTGAGATTGGCCAATACAAAATAATAAATATTTAACATATTCTTTTTGAAGGTGGTATTAATGATAATGAAAAACAAACAACAACAATAATAATAAGAATAATGTGTACAATTAAAAAATATTATTACAATTGCAAATATATACGTAATTTATAATGTTACATGCTGATAAATAATACATTACATTGTTTATATATTTTCATTTTTTTTTCATCCTATTTTTGAGTGCTGGCGAATCCATCTATCTCGTCTCTTGATAGCCTTCTTTTTTTAGTGCCATTGTTATTAGATTCAACCTCACTGAAATTAAGATTATTTGATGAAATTTTGAGAGGGCTTTTAGAGCGAGGGCCCATCCCCGTTGAATTGTCCTTTAAGAATATATTTTGTTCGATAATGTTTGTTGTAGTAGTTGGTTCTATATCATGTAGTATTGTCCTTATTGATTTGTCTAATCCATTAATTTCATTAACGGAATATTTTGCCAAACTGTGCGTCTCATCAAAACGAGATTTTAGTGTATTTGTCTTTTCCACAATTTGTTTTATGTTATCTTTAATATTCTTATTTTTAGTGATCACATCACGTCTTTCATCACGCTCTTGATCACTGAACCTATCATTTATCTTAATGACCGATTTCTTTATCTTTTCATTTGACATGTTTATATTGCCCTTCGTTGAATCCAAGGTATTGTTCATATTATTAAAATAAGTGTTACTTAGGGAATCACATCTATTAATTAACTCGATAGAAGATTCCCATTTTTGTTTTTTTGGCTTCAATAACTTCATTTCTTGCTCAATGATATCACTTGTACTTCTCTGCATGGAGTCGATTAGTAGTTGCTTATTAGAAAGTAAATAGTTTTCTACCATATCCTTAACATTTTCCATTAAGTTAGACGAAGATTGTTCCATTAGTTCTGTTGTCTTGTTGATATAATTCCCAAGTCTTTCCTCATGGTTATTTTGGAACAATCTATCATTTAAATATTGTTTTAGGTTGTTATATTCTTCGGATATATCTGATAAATTTTCTGAAATTTGTTTGTAAAAATGTGTAGACAATAAATTTATGTTGGTTACATTATCTTCGACCTCCTTAAATAGGGTTGGTGTCTCTTTCAAAAACTCTCCAATGCATGATTGATAAGAGTCGCGAATATTTGTCTCTAGTATAGTTAAGGAAGAAGATATTTCTTTTTGTAAATTATCAATATGTGGTTGAACTTCAAAGGATTCATCATCATAAGCTTGCAAGTCATCTAACTGATTCAAGAATTTTTCTTTAAGTATCATTAGTTGGTCATTTAGAATCAATTTAAATCTAGAATCGATAGATAGTTCCTTCTTTTTGAAGGCCTTAATTTCATTCTTTAAGGATGACATTGATTCATTTAATGTGACTATCTGATTATTTAATTGATTTTCTGTTTCCGACGATGCAACAATTTTTTCTTGTAATTCATTTATAGAGTCATTAAGTGAATCTGTCTTGATATTTTGTAAATCAAGGGATTTAGTCAATTTTTGTTTTTCGTCGGTAAGTCCATCTACTTTTTCATTTAATGATTTAATTAACCTTTTAGCTTCCTCCAATTCTGTCTTATAATTTTCCATATCATGATTCATTTCTTTATAATGTTGTTGTGACATAAATACACCATCTTTAGACTTTGTAGATAAAAGATCACTTTTTAATTTAGCTAATTCTGTAGTTACATTTTTCAAAAGAATATCCTTCATAACAAAAGAACCTAATTGTGGTTTGTTCTTAATATTTTTAGCTTTAGATGCATATTCCAATGTACTACAAGTCTCATCAGATGTAGCCTTTGCTGGTGAAATTGTGGCAATCAAAGCTGTCTTTGTATTACCTCCAAGGGAATCCTGTAATAGACGTGTTAGTTTAGATTCACGAAATGGCACATGCGAACTTTTGTCGGCCAAGGCATTGATCACTCTACCTAAAGTCAAAAGACTTTGATTAATGGATCCAGCTTCTTTAGCTCTTTGATTCAAAGCACCAGAACGACTAATATTTTCTGAACCAGCTAAATCCACTAGATTCATCTTTGACAGACGGAACAATTCACCTTGATGCTGCTTGTATAGTGTAATGGTGAATATTGTATGGGATCGACTTGAAAAATCGTTCATCTTTGTTGTGGCAACTTGTCTATGAGCTAAACCCTTTTGTAAGAGAGCTAAACCTTCATTTGCTGATGTAATATGAAATTCTTGTAAATTTTGAATATAAATCGTATTATTATCATTTGAGCCCTGTGACATTGATGCAGATGTATTATTGCTATTATTATTATTATTATTACCTGCCATGGTGGTATAGGTACCCGAGGCACCAGGATTAGATGGTTGCATAGAGGTACGTCTTAATTTATAATTATATTTTTTAGCATTATTTCTTTGATTTAATTTTGGTGAGTTATTTCTACTATCAGGTGTTGAATCAAAAATTCTCAATTTTTTATATTGTTCATTACCATCATTATCTAATAAATCTTTTAATTCTTCATTATATAATTCAATAAATGAACATTTAACAATATGATCTAAATCTTGTTCTTTTAAAGTATCAAATAACTGAAATAAAATTCTCGGTATAATCCCAGCTTTTTCACTAAGGGTATCATTGCCATCCAATTGTTCATCACCCGTCATTGTATAAGTTTTCCCCGTTGAGGTCATCCCATATACTAACATAGTACAATTATAACCTTGTATAAATTCATGAAATAAAGGTTGCGCTACTTCTGCAAATAATAATGATTGACTAGCACTTGGTCCAAATACTTTATCAACAGTATATCGTTTACTATTCAATTGAGCTGCAATTCCTACATCCCCTGTTGTATTGATAATAACCTCATTTGCACCTGAGACGTTTGGTACTGTCACCACGATACTACTCTTTTGAGCCACTTCACGTTGATTTCGACCACGACACCGCACAGCAACTGTGATGTTGAGGTCCTGTGACATTCTTCCTACTTAGTTCGATCGAGAAGACTGTTTTGATGTGTATTTTTTTTATAGTATGAAGATATTTATAAGAGATGTTTTTGTTTTTATAAAGATGTTGTTTATTATTTATTTATTTATTTTGTTTTTAAAAAAAAAATAGTTCTTTTGTTTGTGTGAAAATGCGTAAGACGCGTGAGATAAAAAAAGAAGAAGAAGAAGATGTTAATACTGTAACAGTAAACAAAATTTTTATGATTATATTATATTATTATATTGCAAAGAAATTTTTAAAAGAGAAGAGGACCACTAGAGTATTCTATTTTTGGTCATTCTGGTATAGAAATGTTAATAACAACTAAAAAAAAAAAGTAAAACGATTAGAAAGGGGAGGAGAGAGTCATAAAAAAATTATTATTCTTTTTCTTGATTTTTGAACATTATAGCGAGTTGAATGAAAAAAAACAAAACAGAATTTAATTATTCCAGAAACCTGATAGATCACCACCAGCACCATTAAAAATTAATTTATTTGGAGTATCAGCAGAAATGTCCCTAAGAACATTTTTAGTTGAATAATCAATCAATTTTTGTTTTAATTGTTCTGGAGTAATAGTTTGTTGTGAATAGAATGAACTTGATTTTTCTGGTTGTAAAGATAAGAAATAAGTTAATAAACCTGCAACATGAGGTGAAGCCATTGAAGTACCTGATAAAGTTGCAGTAACATCATTGGAATCACCAATATAAGTAGATAAAATGTTTAAACCTGGTGCGAAAATATCAACACACTTACCCCAATTTGAGAAGTAAGCACGATCATCACTTAAAGTTGAAGCACCAACTGTAATAGCATTTTCTGCAGCAGCAGGCGAAGTATTACAAGCATCTTGATTTTCATTACCTGCAGCTACGGCAAAATGTAAACCAGCTTTAACTGCGGCATTAACAGCAAGGTCTAATGAAGGTGATTTACCACCACCTAGTGACATATTAGCAGTAGAACCTTTAAAGTTTTTATCCTTTGATTTACGATCCATATGCATTTTTGCAGCATATTCAACACCTTTTAAAACATCAGACATTGAACCTGAACCATTTGATCTAAGGACTTTAATTGCAAATAAATTGGCACGTTTAGCAACACCATATTTTTTTGATGCAATAGTACCTGCACAATGAGTACCATGACCATTACCATCAATATCTTCATCATTTAATGGAATAGTTTTCCCCCAAGTAGCACGACCTTCAAATTCATTATGATTAATATTAATACCTGTATCAATAACATAAGCATCAACACCATTACCAGCTTGATCATCGTAAAGGTACTTATTAAAGTTTGCTAAGTTTAATGATTCTCTATGAGAAATACGTGCTAAACCCCACGGAGCATCATTTTCTGTATTAAAATCTGAAGCATAAACAATTGAATCTTGCTCAACAAACGCTACTAAAGGATTATTTCTAACTAAATTTAAAATAATTGGTGATAAAATAGCAGTATAACCAGAAATTAGACTGCCAATGTTAAATGTGGCAAAATTGTCAATAATGGAATTCGATGTAGTCGTTAAATCTTGAATGACAGCTTGTTGAATTGTCTCTAAATGAAATTGAATTTGTTCAGGCGTAATAGTATCTTTAAATACAATAATATATTTATCTTTAATAGCAGGATGAACATCAGGGTTAGAAGGAACGTACAAAGGAGCCAATTTTTCTTCTTCTTCTGTTGCAGCTGCAGCGGAAGCTTCAGCTGGAATATCATTAGAAGAGTCTTGTTTTAAATGAGGAGTAATAGAGTCAGAGATAGCCTCTAATAAAGCAGGAAACTGTTCTTGGAACAGTTCCGGTAAGACCAATGCACGAACTGCATCGTTAGAAAGTAGAGATAGTAATAATAGTAAGTTGTTCACCTTCATAGCAAGCGTGTGTGTGTACGTGTCTATGGAAGTGTGTATACGGATGTATATTATAGTATACAAATAGAAGAGGAATACAAAATCTAAAGAAAGTTAGTATTGAGAGAGCGTGGAATGTTCCCTATTTATATAGATAGAAAGTTACCTTCTTTATTAACCGCTACAGAGGGAAGAACAAATGTGGATATATCTTGATAAGACAAAAGCGGGGCGAGGAAGAGGGGGGCGAGAGGCCCACCCCCAACAGCAATAACGGATTGCAGAGAGAAGGGCAAGACGCACCTGCCGGGTGACTGATATCGACAAACAATCAAAAAAAAATAATAAGATTGTGTGGTGTGATGGGTGGGTGCACCCTTAAAAAGACAAAATAAGAGCACCATTTTTTGGTTACCCTCAACACGGCAAACACACACACCTCGCTATAAATATGCGAATGCACAGCCACGCTGCGTGCGTCTTTCTTCCGATTGGCCAGGGAAACCCATGCTATCTTAAATTCCGAGCTCCCTGCGTCGCCTGTGGTTGCCGGTGCCCAGCTCGCCTGTGGTTGCCGTTATGTTATACTTCCCCATCAATTTGTAGTCTCGTCTGTGACCTCTATACGAACTTTCCCTTGCAAACAGTCTCTGAACAACCTTTTGAATGGCACGCAGTTGTATTTGACGTCGCCACTGGTTGTTGGCGATGGCACAGCTTCGCACTCATACTGTATCAGCTCCTTGAGAGGGCAGTCTGTTAGTTCTTCAACACCTCTCTTGACAGCAAGATCCGTAACTTCATCTTTATTTAATATCTTAACAACAGGCGCCATCACTGTAAGTCGCTTGTTGGTATCAGGTCTTGTTTATCTTGATGAGATAGTGTTGGGTGTTCTTGTCAAATATTACTCTCTCTGTACACATTCCACTTTCTTATAACTGGACATTTTTCAACGCGCACTCTTTTTGTTTGCTGTGCTATATATAATAATAAACAATAAAAATATGTACCCAGTATACAAAACACACACATACACACACACACACACACATATATATATATATATATATATATAAGAACAACAACGACAAGAAGAAAAAGAAAGAATGCAATTGGAACTGTTAGAGTCCTTGTTTGACAAGACTTGCAAGACTAAAAATTATACTTATACTTATGGTACCGCGGGGTTTCGTGATAAAGCTGCAGTCTTAGATACTGTAATGTTTACTACAGGGATTATTGCATCCTTAAGATCAATGTCTCATCAGGGAAAAGCTGTTGGTGTAATGATTACTGCATCTCATAATCCACCGATGGATAACGGTGTTAAGATTATCGAGCCTGATGGCTCGATGCTTTCACAATCCTGGGAATCTTTAGCAACAAACTTAGCTAATATTACAGCAAATGAAAATTTTTTAAAATCAATTGAATTTATTAAAAATTTAATTATTTCATTGAATATAGATTCAAATATAATTCCATCAATTGTCGTGGGAATGGATTCTCGTGAATCTTCTCCAAGATTAATGAATTGCTTATTATCAACTTTATCTCCAATATTTAATGCAAAAATTATTAATCATAATATGCTAACTACACCACAATTACATTTCTTAACAGCTTATCAAAATGAAAATTGTAATATTATACCAGCTGAAAAAATTACTGTTAATCAATATGATACTAATTTTCAAACTGCTTTTAATGATTTATTAAAATTATATGAAATTAAAAATTTTAATAATTGTTTTAATAATCTTATTGTCGATTGTGCAAACGGAATTGGTGCACCACAGTTTGAAAATTTTATTAAAGGTTTACCACAGTCAAATTTAATTAAATTTATTAACAATAATTATAAACATCCTGATACTTTAAATAATTCATGTGGTGCAGATTTTGTTAAGACTCAACAAAAATTACCAGCTGGTGTTAATGATGATCCATCTTTATTAACCGATTCAAACTTATATTGCTCATTTGATGGTGATGCAGATAGAATTATTTTTTATTATATTGATCAAACTAATAAATTCCATTTATTAGATGGTGATAAAATTGCAACTTTATTTGCTAAATTTTTGAAAAAATTATTATTATTGGCAAATTTAAATGATATTAAATTAGGGATTGTTCAAACTGCTTACGCAAATGGTAGTTCCACTACTTATGTAAGTAATACTTTAAATGTTCCCGTTTCATGTACTAAGACAGGTGTTAAGCATCTTCATCATGAAGCTCAAACTGCTTATGACATTGGTATTTACTTTGAAGCCAATGGTCATGGTACAATTTTATTTTCAAATAATTTTTATTCAAAAGTTCAATCATGTCTTGAAATTACTAAAGATGAATCAATTACAAAAGCTTGTAAGACTCTTTTAGCATTCTCAAAAGTAATTAATCAAACAGTTGGTGACGCAATTGCTGATTTACTTGGAGTCGTTGCAACTTTATTGATTTCTGAAATGAAACCATATCAATGGGATCAACAATATACTGATTTACCAAATTTGTTAAGTAAAGTAATTGTTCCAGATAGAAATGTATTTAAGACAACAGATCAAGAAAGAAAGTTGACAAGCCCACCAGGTTTACAAAACAAAATGGATACTTTGATTAATAAAATTGAAATGGGAAGAGCTTTTGTCAGAGCTTCAGGTACTGAAGATGCTGTAAGAATTTATTGTGAAGGGAAAAATGCAGAAGATGTTAAAAAACTTTCAAAGGATATTGAGGCTTTGATTATGGCTGAAGTTAACTAAGACAAAGTGCAAAAAATTAAATATTTATCAAGCCAATAATCATGGTTATTTTAATTGCATTCTATATATATATATATATGTACTATCTATAAATCCTTTTTTCGATGCCTTCGTGTATAGCGAGCTGAAAGTGAAAAATTCTAAAAAAAAAATTATTAACTACGAATTTTACTTGCACGGTAGAGAGAGAGTAGATTGAAGTTTTGATCAGTAGCAACGAAATGTGACAACTTTGACCTCGATGAGCTCCTTTATTTATTTATTTTTTTTAAAATTTTTACATTTAAATCTTGTCTTCAATGTGTACGTTTAAAACTTTCTATAGATATTTTCCTGGAGAGAATTGTCGAACCGATATAGGTAAGAATAATATCAGTGACTTACTGACAGGATGTCTAAAGTTAATAGAGATTTATTCTACAAATTGGCCTCTGAACTACCAGAGGAACGTGTTCAAGCAGCTGTCTCGATAATTAAAGAATTATCAGAATTGGAATTACCAGATGCTGATACAGAATGGAAATACGTATTGAATAGATTGATTACTGGGTTATCATCAGATAGAAACGGTGCACGTTTAGGATTTTCATTATGTTTAACTGAAGTGGTGAATCTAGCCATCGAATTAAGCAAAGATAAGAAAAAATCAGTACCTGAATGTTTGCCTAATATTGAAGAATTTTTAAATTTATTATCTAAAACGTTATCCTTAGAATCTGATAAAAGTAATAAAAAGAGAAAAGGTAAAGAAGAAAGAGGTCTTTTATTTGGTAAATTATTTGGTTTACAATGTTTATTAAATGAACCTCTTTTCACTAGTATTTTTTTTGAAAATAAATCTGTCTCTAAATTTAGTACAACATTCATGAATGAATTATTAACTTTATCTCAATATAAAAATTGGATTAGAGAACCATGTTTATTTACACTTTTCCAAACTATTACTAAATTGATTCCATTTGCAAATGAAGAATTCATTAGATCAATTATTCAATTATTAGATTCTTATAAATTAACTTTAACAAATGAAGGTTTAGCCATTTATTTATCTATCCTTTATAATGACAAAAAATTCAATTTAACTAATATTACTTTAGAAAATAATGGTTGGAAAAATAATGATCCATTAACAAGAGGTAATTTACCACTATTAACTGACGTATTACGTCAATCATCAGTTGCTGAAGATGAAAATAATAATATTAAACAAGCTAATTGGACTCCAAGGTTACATTTTGTATGGAAAGTTCTTTTACCAATAATTTGTAAAGCACCAGATTCTAATGGAGAACATATTAATAAAAAGAGAAAGAAAGAAAAAGAGATGATTAAATTTGCAGAATTTTGGCAAATGGCTGTAGATGAATCATATTTCAATGAAAAATCATCTAGTGAAAGAAAATTCTTGGGATTCTTAATATTTGAAAAAACTATCTCATTAGTGGATGCACATTGGATTCCCTCCATATTTACTCAAAATTTTATGAGATCATTGATTAACCAATCAACAGATTCTAAACGGATGTTACATAAGATTTCTCAAAAGACATTGAATATCATCGTTAATGCATGTGGTCCTGAACATGAAGTTAAATTAGTATCTTGCCTAAAGGCAATCTTATTCGGCTCGAATGGATCTGTTAACTTTGATAAATTAACTAAATCGAAGACAGTTTCAAAATTAATTACTACTCCTAATCTAAATGAAAACATATTAGAACAATTATTTACTATGCTTTATGCTGAACTACCTTCAAAAATTGATTCTGATTTGTCTCTTGTTCGTTTTATTTTGGATACAACCTTACATATCGTGAGAAGTCATAAAAATGGTATACCGGTCACTTTAGCTGTCACCATTTTAAAACCTATAGTTTTATTGGCTTTTTTCACTAATGATAATGAACAATTAAATGAATTAGCAAGAGAAAGATTATATTCTATCCTTGCTGAACTTACAGGTGTCAAGACAGATACACACTCTTGGCAGTATTATACTCTAGATATAATCGTCGACCTTGAAAACGATACTGATTCTAAAATCGAATTGGTTAATAAATTAGATGATAGTCTAATACGAGTAAAACAAGATGCGATGGAAGTCTTAAGTGACATTTCTACTTCATTAGAAAGCACCGATAAAGAAACATCAAAATTACGAGGTATGGAGTCATTAATCTCTATGTGCTTACTTCAATTATATTCTGGGGATGTTGAATCAGTATCGGTTATTGAAGAACTATGTTCATTCTATAACACTCAATCCGAAGAAGGTGATAATTCTATGGTGGGCGTAACAGAAATTCTACTATCGTTACTTGCACAAAAGAAAGCCATGTTAAGAAGAATTAGTCTTGCTGTCTGGGAGCAATTCATTTCAGATATTGGACGCGATGAATTAAAAGTGCTATTGGACGTGCTGTCAGCAAGAGAGAATAAGCAAGGATTCAGCCAACTGTTTGAAGGTGTTGACGATTATGAAGAAGAGGAAGAAGAAGATGCCGCTAATGACGACGATAAAAAGGATGATAGTGATGCAGAAGATGATGAAAACAAAAGTTCAGAGGAAGAAGATAGTTCTAGTGAATCAGAAGATGACATAGATAATGAGAATGTTGCAAATATTGATAAAGAAACTTCAAGTGCATTAGCAAAAGCGCTAAATCTTCCTGAAAGTATTATCAACGAAAATGGTGAAGTCAAGTTCGATGAGTTAGACGATTTCTCTGGAGATGAGGAAAGTGATGAAGAGTCAATGGATGATGAAAAAATGATGGAATTAGATGATCAATTATCTGAAATATTCAAAAGAAGAAAAGAAGCTCTTTCAAGCATTCCAACAGGTAATCAAAGAAAAAGTGACGTTAAAATGTCCCGTGAGAACGTCATTTCTTTCAAACACAGGATTGTAGAGATGTTAGAAATATATGTTAAGTACATAGAGAGATGTACCGTCGAGAAAAGAAAAGGAGAGAGTGATACTAACGTTAATGGTTCTAATTTATTACTGTTTATCCTGCCAATGATTACTTGTGTCAGAGAGACATTGGACAAATCCTTAAGTGATAAAATTTCCAAATTATTAAAGACAAAAGTCTTCAAGATTACCGTGAATGTCTTTTCGAATGTAACAGATGAAGAATGTTTGACTTTAATAAAACAGGTTCATGGTAAATTATTGAGTTCAAAGCCGGGCCATTTTAGTGTAAACTATTACTCGCTGTGTTCGACATCTTCTATTTTCCTTGGTAAGATTTTACTTGAAAACAACAAGGGAGACAGTTCTTCTGTTATTTTGGAAGAATTAGTGGACATATATTGTCAAACCACAAAAAAATGGATGGTTAAGGGAAAATTTGGTGTAAATATCTTCATTGATTTTTATAATTGGCTATCAAGCAAGAAACGATAGTATTCTACGATATTATTTTACGAAAGGAAAAAAAAAGCATTACTCCCATTGTAATATATTGCGTATATGTATATATATGGACATATGTATAATATTATTTACTGTAGCATATCAAGATCTGGTTCTATTATACCACCAACCCTTTGTAGTTTGCTGGAACACTTCCAAATTTGGACAGTATTTTCTTCTTCCGCAGATGCCATCAACCATGGGATATTCTCATTGATTGATATATCATTAATGGCACTCTTATGACCAGCGTGCATCATCAATACCTCTGGCATAGCATCTTCAGCATCATCACGGACTTGTTCACTACCAATTTCCATTATATCCCATACGATAACTCTTCTATCTGCTCCAGCAGAAACAATGATACCATCCTGTTGACCGTAGAATTCTAAACTCGTAACAGCCTCAGTGTGTGCACACATAGTATGCAATGGCTTTGAAGTATCTCTCATATCGTAAAGATATATATTAGAGTCTGTGCCCGCAGCAGCGAATAGATTTGAAGAATGTTTAGAAAATGCAATAGTGTTAAATGGTTGTGGGGCTTCTAATTTCATAACAATCGAATCGTTGTTGTCATTACCTGAACCTTCAATTATTCTCAAATCTTGGATTTGTAAAGTATTATCTTCTGATACGCTACCAAAGATAGTTGGCTCGAAATTATGCCATTTACAATCATTTACAATATCACTATGTGCATTATCCCAAGTTAATACCGGATCTGTAGACTTAGAAACATCCCATAATGCTATTGAATGATCATCAGAACCACTCAAAAGTTTACCCTTATCGTTAGGATTAAATGAAAGACCATACCCATTTTCTTTATGATATGATAACTTTGTAGGTGTTTGTTTTGATGATTGGTTAGTGTCATAAATGAAAAGGTTACCTTCACCATTAATCGTAGCAATAATATTACTTTGCTGTGGCATATAACGGGCTCTGGTAATTTCTAAATCATGTTTGAATTTTTTAGTTATTTTAATATTTGATTTCACGGCCTCTAAAGAAGATTTGTCATCTTCATCGTCCTCTACTGAACTCAATGCAATCTCTTTTGGTAATTCTATTGATGCAATTTTCAAATAGTTATCTTCTTCACCAGAGGTATGGGTCCCTAAAAGCAACTCCTGCTTTTCAGGTGAAGTAGATTCATTATCTGGTAACCATTGGATTGTTAAAGATGGCCATGTTAATTTTGTTTCACTAACAAAATCGTACATCAATGGTACGTTTGATTTCCATAAATCATATTCTTGATCGAGCGATAACGGTTCGTTACTATTTTCCTCTTGTATGATATTGCTACCCATAAGTTGGTCCATTATTTCTCTAAAAAATATGTACTTATTTGATTTTACTTTAAGTCTAAAATCTTCCTAAATTAGAATATATTATTATTTGATTCTATTTAAGATGATGATAAGAAGTTATATTTCTGTAATTATTACTATCTTTAATTACCATATTCAAAGTAGTTCTTTCAAATTATGTGAGAGAAGTTATCAATGTACTTAATTCTTGAAACTGTTAATTTTGGTGTACTCACCTAATTTACTTCGGCCGAGACAGGAAATTGTAAAATAAGTGAACGCGAAATTGCGAATTTCTGCTACGCACTAAAATGAAATTTTGCAAATGAGCGCACAAAATTATATTAACTGCTGTTGTTTTATTTGCAATTTTGCGATTTAGCAGAAATTGTATGTTTCAACGGACAATTGGCGCTTTATTTTTTTTTGTGCGTTTAACAAAAAGCGAAGAAGACAGAAACTAGAACGACTAAAGTCTCTTAATGTCCCGTAATGGGACAAAAAAGTACATTTCCCGTTTTAGGAGTTCTTACACTACACGAAATGTTGATCCGTTAGAAATTACTAAAATAAACATCTATTAATCAATTAATAGTTCAAAAACAGATATTCACTATGTATATATATATAGTGAATGGATCAATGAGTTAATTTAAAAGGCCATCAGTTCATAACGTTTACAAATTCACAATAAATATTAGTTTAAAATAAACTTCAGTATCAGTTTCTTCCCCCTTAATACAAATAAACCAAGTTTTAAAAAAAAGAGGATATTATGAGTTCACCAATAAGAAGAAGATCAGCTTTGACAAGCAAAAACGTTAATGTTAGCTTAAGACCAAACAACCTTTTGACTAAGAACAACAGTAATAGCAGTCTCGTAAGCAGCAATTTATCTAGAACACCATCTGGTTCTCCAATAAGACGTTCACAAACACCCAGCATAAGACAAAGTCCTTTGAAAAAAAGAATTTCAGGCACACCATCTCCAATTAAGAGAATACAACAGGGTTTTACTTTTGCATTCCATGAAGATGACTCTCCAACTCGTACATCAGTTATAAAATCACATAAGTCTCTACAACAATCTGAAAATAATGATGGTAATATAAATAAAGAGAACGTATCTCCTGAAAGAGCAAATATAAGGAGACTCCAAGATAAAGAAAATGGTAAAGTACGTTCAATTGAACAAACTTCAAAAAACATAACGCGTAGTGCTTTGAACAGAATACCATTAGAAGAATTAAAAGCTTCAGATTATCCAGGATACTTAGAGGACCCAACAACTCACGATATGCGTCCATTAAATATAGCTTACAATGTCAGCCATAGTAGTAGCTCAGATAGTTCAAAACAAAGTTCTCCTTCTAGAATTCTTCGTTTTTAAAGAATCAAACTATTTACATAGACAATCTTAAAACGATTTTTTGCATTTGCACACTTTCGATGTGCTCAAGGATTACAATACAAAACACATTCGATCCTTTTTTAAAAAAGTCTCAGCTAATCTGGGAACCATCAAATGTATACCCTCATCACATATGTAACATTACCTAATATTATTAATTAATTAAAGAAGATTATAATGTCATTTTTCTTAACGAGTAGTAATAGATTCATCTATAGGGCACCTTCTTGATTAGGAAAGGATCACTTATCAAATACGGTAATGATTGCCTGATTAAGTAATTTCTTTCACAGATTTTTTTTTCTCTCTCACTCGCTGTTCACTTTCTGACCTGTTATTATTGTGACTACACGAAAGGCGAGGCCAAAAAGTTGGACACTTTCAAGAAAACAAATAACCCAAGTCAAACAAGTATCCTTTTTTAAACTGATATTTTTTTGGTAGTTTTATATTAAGAAGGAATTGAGCCCAAAAGAGATCACTCTATTCGTGATTACTTGATCGTGAATTCTCTCTTCCAAGTGATTGAATAAACTATTCAAATATGGTATCTGACGGTTACACTTTGCTATCAGCATTTCAGTCCTGTTTGTTTTATGATATAAATAAAGCTCCCGATGAAAGTAGTTCTTTGCTATACACAACAGGTACCATCATCGAAGACCACCCAAATGATACACTAAAAGGATTGCTCAAGAAACACAATATTTCATTTGAAAGCTCCAACTTTGCATATGTTTTACCGAATGATCTCAATAATGATGAGGTAACCCTTGTACATAACACTGAACAAAAAATTATTTCAATTGAAGGTATTACGGCTGATAGTGAATTTCAATCATACGTCTCCGAAGATATTGTAAATACCCTTTTACTCCAATCGATAGGTGAAGATAAACCTGATATTGAAGAGTTCTTCAAGGATGATTCTAATGGATTTGCTTCAGTTTTGGATGATATGGCTACTCACTTTAAAGTACATATAATTATCACTTATAAATTAATATCTGATTCATTAGAGATAAATACTAGATTAATTGGTACTTCTGAAAATATTATCCTTGGCAAGCATCAAATATATGCATTCTTTGATTTGTTCGTGAACAGATTTGACAAAAACGAAAATTATATGGTAGACTATCTAGATATAGAGACATTATCATTCTTACCATTCTTACATGATGAACAAAATTCGAAATTTATTAATAATCATCTCTCTACGTCTATCTTTGTGCCAGAGATTACACAATATAATAATATATCTTCACCACGACAAATAATCTTGACAGGTGAGATACATGGACAATTATTAAAGACAAAGAAGATTATTCAACAAAGGTTGCAGTATTTAAGCACATCAATATTTTATAAAAAAATTTGCAACATCTCAAGTGCTAAATTATTTTTCCTAAAGAATTTTTGTCAAGTAGATACTGTTTCATTTATGATTCAAAACCATTGTTTTATTAATCTAACTGAGAATTCTATTGAATTCCAAGCATTTTCACCTATTATCTTAAATACAGTCATTAAACAGTTTACATTAAAATTTTTGCAAGAACTTGTAGAAGTATCATTTATAATGAACGAAAATACCAACTATAATACAATAATAAAGGACCTTAACAAAAAAAAATTATTCAAAGGCCAGTATGTTGTCATGGAATCGAGCACCTCTGAGGAGAGAATGATTCTTTGTGTTAGACACGGTGCATTAACTAAGTATCTAGAAGATACAACTACTAATGGAGATTGTGCGGTTGTATTTGAAGATGATGCAATTAAACAATTTAGGCTATCATTCGAAGTTAATTCCGAATACGAAGATTTTATTTGTGGGAAAAAGAATGGTAAATTAACCAGAATAATTGAAAATGTGAAATCTATCATTGAATTATCAAATAATAGTAAGTCATCTCAAAATAATGGTGATGATACAATGAACTTAACAGTCATAAGTAGTACTTTTAAGGACTTCAAAAATTCCATGAAAAATATTATTAATGAATTACCAGCCGAAGAATCATTTTTTATTCCAGAAGTATATCATAGACCTATTATTGGAGCTGGTGGTACTATAGTTCAAACAATCATGAGAAAGCATAATGTCTTCATCCAATTTTCAAATAGCTTTTCTTTACCGCAAAACAATTTCGGGATCACAAGATATCATAATGTCATTATCCGCTGTCCAACAAAGAATGAACAGAATATTAGATTTGCAAAGGATGAAATATTGAAGCTAGTAGATGATTTCAACTATATGCAAATTACTGAATCTTTGAATCTGACAAATAACAGATTTGAAAGCATTATTTTAGCATCTGCCGATAATACCAATTTGAATAAATTAATACAGTTTGAAAGGAAATATAATGTATTTATTGATTTCCCAAGTGACCTATCAAAAAGTGACAACGAGCCTGTACTTCTCAAAATTATCGGTAATGATGTTGCAAGTACTCTAGAAGCTATCGATGATATAACCAATGATCCATCGGAATGGTGTAGAGAATTGACTTTAAAAATATCCTCAAATTTTAAAACTTATTCTCAAAAAAAGAACAACGTAGCGAAACTTTACAATGAGGTTATTATCCCCTTAGAGGAAGTATTTAATGAAGTCTTTATTAGTTTCAGTCGGTTGAATTCTGTTATTGCGATTGCATATAATGGTGATTCATCCGTTAACCCTAAGGATAATATAAACAAGATTGTTGATTTTATCACCTCCTATTTGATTGAACAAGGGATGACAATCATTAATAAGAGTCAGGCTCCTGATACTGTTGAATAATTGTGGAAGATGTGAATACAAATAATATAAATAGCTAAGATAATTGCCTAATAATAATATTTAACAGGCTTTTGTAACTATATAGACACCTCGATATTTACATAAATTTTTACATGAAATTTATAGAATATTAATAATAACAAAAACGCTAATAGCACTAATACAGGCGAACTAATACCGCTAAAGTCTGGTTCCTATTGTTTCGTTAAGATACATAACTATTTTATCAAATTCTCCGAAATCTATATCACGAGTCTGTCGCTGGTCTTCATTGTCTTCAAGCTGTTTAAATCGAACTCTATAATCATAAAAGTCAGAATTACTAACCTTTTCATTATTTTCGATCTTAAAATATTCTAGTGTCAATATATTTTTTAGGATCTGTTTAGACATCAAAATATCTCTATCTATATCTGTCGTTTGACCTTCAACATGGGATACGGCAGTCATTATGAAGTTGTATGTCTGAGCTATCTGAGTTTTCCAATCGATTTGGCTGTCAGCATCCTTTCCCAGAACTAATGATCGTCTTTTCTCGTAATTCTCGTATTTGAATTTATACTTAATATAATCTATGTAAGTGTTTTGGATCATTTGCCTCTGAGAGATAAATTTTTTGAGTCTCACAAACCGCCTATAATGTATTAGGATGTACTGTATGTCATTACATGCATTTAAATCAGGGTGTGGTAAAAGGAATCTAGCAATATTTTTGATGAAAAGACGATTACCTGTGCTAATTGCACTCTTGGTCTCAATTATAGCGGACATGCGAATGGGGACATAGACTAAAAGTAGTTTTCTGCTAATATTTCGATAGTTTTCTTTTATATTATTTTCATATTCTACTTGAATAACAATACGGCACTTTGAACAAATGCAATTTTTTTTTATTTTTCACATTTGATATTAAAGTGATATAAATCAAAAATAGTAAGCTTATTTAAAAGGAACAGAGCCTAAGAAAGATCCCAGTTCAGATATTGGTATATCAGCAACAATTCGTTACAAATGAGTAATAACGGGGAGCTAGTTTATTTAAGTTCTGATGGAGAAGACTCGGATTCTATGCTTCTGGATGCTTCCAAGCCCGTGTCAAGGGAACAAACTTGTATCACCGATGACTACGAAGGTGACAGTTCTGAGTTAGAACATAATGACTCCAATAATTCTAAAGTTTTCAATCCCATTTCTGGGATCAATGTATTTAGGATCAATGAAAGAGAGTTGGAGTTTACGTTAATTGGACTTAAGGAAAAACAAGGTATCCATATTTCAGGTGTCTTTGATATTCAAATCATTAAAGGTGGGGTTGTCTATAATGGAGTACATTACAATGCTTCTAAGGATAAAATATCATTTTCACATCCACTCACAGATGCAATTCCGGAAATTAAATCTTCTTTTCACGCAGGATGGGATGATCCATTATATTTAACAGTTAAACAAAAGAAACTCATAGATATTCAGGTATTAGAAAATTTTGTTTGTGTACTAAAAATAAGCTCCGTGAATGTAGATAGCTTATTAGATATTTCAAGACTATATCCCGATGCATCAAGTCTATGGAAACCAAAAATTAACTCATCATTTAACTCATCCTCGAGTAGTGATACTTTCTGTATACTAGATAGAATATATGAAGATGAATTTATTTCTCAAAATAATCCAATTGGTTGGCAAGAAGTAATTGATAATTTATTTGTAGCATTCAAGAATCAAGAATATGATATGCGAGTGATGGTAATTGGTGGTAAAAACTCTGGTAAATCTACGATATTGAGGACATTGTTGGAGACGTTTATGAATAAAACACTTCTCAATGAAGATGGTACGACATTCAAGTCACAGGAAGATATATTGTATATGGATCTAGATCCAGGGCAACCTGAATATTCTGATCCAGAATGTATATCTTTAACGCAAATAAATCCAACTCCCGTGTCCCGTCTAGGTCAACGTCTAGGTCAACACTGTCATCAAAAGCTGCAACAGTTTTATTACGGTTCCCCCTCTCCTCAGGATGAACCATCATTGTATATGGAACAGATTAGTGAGATAATGAAATATTTTGAGGAGCGTGAATGTATGGGTACCACTTTATTAAATCTGCCAGGGTGGATTAAGGGGTTTGGTATGACCATCGTAAATAATGTGGTACGTCTTTTCAAACCTACTCATGTGATTTGTATTGATTCGTCGAGGTTAGATGCGGAATTAGAAATACAAAATGAATTCACTAATGCTTTCCAAGTGAAATATGAACCAAAAATATATAACGTTGATAGCATATTTTCGCATAGCACCTCACCACAAAATTCACAGCCAAAATTTCATGCACCACAGATTAGGACAATAAAGATGCTTTTGTCACTCCATAGACTGCAAAGCTCGAATCCTATGGACACGCAGTACGATTTTACCCCGTTATTGGCTCGTAAACCTTTACAAATATCATATGGTGATTCAGCAGGAATTAGAGGGATACAATTCTATGAGGAATACTCAGATCTCAAAGGGGATGATATCAAAGGTGCCTTAGAAGGAACCATTGTTAGTTTGGGTTTGAGAAGAACATGGAATGATGATAAAAATAAAAATGTTCATAATATTACAAGAGACGCTTATCCAGTTATTAAACCTAGAATAAAATCAGTGAATTTATCACATTATTCATTGGCTTTGGTCCATTCAGTAGATATAGAAAACCAAGTCATCAATCTATATCTCCCAAAAATCAATGAGGATAAGGTGAGAGCTAAGACTAAGGAGATAAAAAACTCTGTGAATGAAAATGAGGATGAATGGAAATATTCGTGGGTAATTATTAGAGGAAAATCGGATACTCCTTTTTGTGAATTATACCCTAAAGAATTGATAGGAATGTTTAATAAATATGAAACAGTCCCTTATATATCCACAACTCGGAGGAAGAAATACGAACATGTTTGGAAGGTTCGTAAAAATGTTCAAAGGAGAGGTCAAAGTATGAAATAACGTTACAATTATATAGTATGCTTGATTTAGATAAGTATATAATCAAATTATATATGATATGCATTTCTTTATGATTAAACTATAATAAAGGATATAAAATAGATGACGATTTTGTCTTACTTTGATGACTCAGCGTTATCATCACTGTTTAGTTTCACGTCATCATTCCAGCCCATCCTTTTATTTAATTTGTCGTATTTAAGTCTATCTTTATCACTGACTGAGGGTTTTATCATGCTTAATGCTTTGGAAAAATCATTGGCTGTTATCAGTATTTGGTCTTCCGATACTCCAACACTTAAATCTTCAAATTCCTTATCTAAGTTATTGTCAAAAACGGATTGTATATCATCTGTTTTAAAGAAACTTCTCTTTAGTGCTAATATTGAACTTTCTCTTACTAGTGCTGCCAAATCCGCACCTGAATAATTTCTGCAACGTTCATCAGAAATAATGTTTTCGAAAACGACATCTTTAGCCAGAGGTGTTCCGCTAGATCTGGTAACTGTTTTAATGATATCGATTTTCTCTTCTTTATTAGGAAGTTCAATAAATAAAGTTTTGTCTAGTCTTCCTGGTCTTAGCATTGCAGGATCTATTATATCTGGTCTATTAGTTGCACCGATAACAAATATACCTCGTCTATCATTCAGACCATCTAATTCTGTTAAGAGGGTATTTACAACTCTTGACGACGATTCAGATAGCGATGTGTCTCTTCTTGGAACCAAAGCATCCAACTCATCAAAAAAGATAACGCAAGGAACAGATGCTCTAGCTCTTGTAAACACTTGTCTAATAGCTCTCTCAGACTCACCAACATATTTATTTAACAGTTCTGGACCTTTAATTGATATAAAGTTTGCACGAGATTCATTTGCCACCGCTTTTGCTAACAGGGTCTTACCACACCCGGGAGGACCCCATAATAGCACACCTGCTGGTGCGTTTATACCAACTCTTTCATATAATTCGGGCCTTTTTATGGGTTGAACAATTGCCATATTTAATTCAATACGAATTTTGCTCAATGCACCAACATTAGACCAGGTAACGTCTGGGACAGTGGCAAAACCTTCTCTCTTTGCTGTTGGTTGTATTGTTGGTAATGCCTTCAAAAAATCTTCGTATCTAATAGATAGCTGATCCAATTGGTTAGTGTTAAGTGGATCTGGGAAATTATTAATAAATTTTTGTATCACTGACAATGGTAAGGGGTCTATCATATTAGCTGTATTTTTAAGGTAGGTTTGTTCAGGGGTTGAGCCCCCATCTTGTTTTCCATTCTCACTTTCATTCAAAGGAGTATCCTCGTCCATCTGTATATCCCCATCGCCTTGAATATTTTCATCACTTGTGATATCTTTTTGGGGTTTACATAATAGATCATTATGATTCTCAAAAATACGTTTAATAGCACATGTCCCCGCAGCAGTTGTCAATGCTTTAAGGTCAGCCCCTACAAAACCGGGTGTCAATTTAGCCAACTTTGAATAATCAATTTCCCCATCGATTTTTAATGATTGTGTAATTTTTCTAAGAATATGTAATCTTGAAACCTCATTAGGAACATTTAAACAAATTTCTCTATCAAATCTACCGGCTCTTCTCAATGCTGCATCTAAAGAATCTGGTCTATTAGTAGCACCTATAACGATGACAGGTTTACCATTTGTATTTTCCATAGTTAATTCATCCATAGAGGTTAATAATTGAGCCACAATTCTTCTCTCCATTTCCCTTTGAGCACCTCCATCACGCTTTGGAGTAATCGCATCAATTTCATCGAAAAACATTAAGCAAGGAGCTAACATTTTTGCTTCCTCAAATAAATCTCTAATACGTTTCTCACTTTCTCCTGACATACCACTTACAACAGATGGTGCAGACACCGATATAAAAGGAATTTTCAATTCACCTGCAACTGCATTTGCAATAGAGGTTTTCCCACAACCTGGTGGACCATGCAATAAGACACCTCTAGGTGGTTCTACACCTGTTGTTAAATATATTTCAGGGTGTAACATTGGAAGCCCTATAAGTTCCATAAGTTGTGCAATTACATCATCCATACCACCTAATTGCTGTAAATTGGAAGTAGGAGGAGAACGGTCCTCCTTTGTCTTTTGTCTCTTGACTCTCGTTTGAGTATCCTTTGGTCTCTTTTTATTTATTTTTTGAGTAGAATCTTCTGAAACTTCTGGACCAAGCGTAGAAGGTACAGATGCAGGAGTGATACCCCATTGATTTGTGACGCTTTTATTCATTTGATTAGAATCCGAATTAATCATTAAATTTTTTTTCTTCATTTCTATTTCATTTAAATCAGTCTCATCTAAATCATCATCACCTTGTGAAGCATTATATTCAGGAAAGGAGGCAAACTCTTCTTGTTCTTCAGTCACGATTTGGGTCAAAACTTTTTCAATTGTTTTCGTTAACATTACTTTTTTCACTCTTTGCATAGAGAGGTCCTTAACCATGCAAAAGTTGAAAATTTCAGACACAGTTATATCCTTTGCAAAAAAAATCACATCGAACGCATCTTGATCTTCTTCAGTAATATCAGTTGCTGGAAGTTGTGCTGCTTCTCTTTTCTTATCCAAGGTCTTTTCTTCTAATAATCGATAAATAAGATCAGAAACCTTATTATCTAGCGGTGTGTTGCTATTTTTCTTCCCTTTCACTTTAGCCATGCTAGATATATCTTTAGCTTAATAAGTATTATTCTAGTAGAAGTGGATATGCCTCAGTTATGCAGAACCCTTCTTTTAGTTGGAAAGAGAACTACTGTCTGCTTTAAGTCTGTTTGTCCTGCGATGAGCATCTCATCTTTAAAAAAGTGTTTTGATGAGAAAAAAATTTTTTTTCAGTGGCGGTCACGTGCAAACAATGACAAAAGAATCGTATTTAGTTAAAAGGTATCTGTTTTTACAATACATTTATAGATGGGAGAGCACTATATATCTGAAGTTTGTGTTCACTTCATATTTGTAATGTTTAAGAAGATAATTTGAGTCTTTACGTAACTTTTGCATAAAGAGTCTAGAGTGTGATAATTTGTCCATGTCATCGTTGGGTTTTTTTTCCAAATAGTTAACAACGAGTTAGTAGTATAGCACTATGTGAATATATATATTATAACGACAAGTAATGAGTTGCTGCAAACACCAACTTTACGACCATTAGATGTTATTCTATCTATCTCTCTCACTTTTGTTCTTGTTAGGTTCCAATAATAAGTGTGAAGAACAAAAATTTTGTTGTCAGCGATTTTTCTGTTTTTGAAGAACCCAACCCGTTTCGCAAATAATAAGATTAAAAATTTAATAGAATAATAAAAGGAACACTAAACACAATAATTCTGGAGCCTCTTTCAGTCCCCAGGTTAATAAATTAAAAACAGGATTCTGTATATGTTATTTTACACCAATTAAAATTTTACCCTATCTATAAAATATAGAAACATAACTGTGATGTTTTGTGCAATTAGTGGTAAACCACCTAGAGTTGCTGCTATTTCTCCTAGTTCAAAATGTGTCTTCGAGAAAAGTTTACTGGAACAATACGTTAAAGAGCACGGTACAGATCCAGTGTCCAATGAACCTCTTACTATAGACCAGATTATAACAGTAGCACAATCTCCTTTACAACATTCCTTTAGTGATAGTCTCAATTCCGCTACATTGAATAGTAATTATAGTATCCCAAGTCTTTTATCCACTTTACAAAATGAATGGGATGCACTAATGCTTGAGAATTTTAGTCTAAGAAAACAACTAGATCAAATTACTAAAGAATTTTCTGCTGCTTTGTTTGAAAGAGATGCTGCAAAACTTGTAGCAGCTCGTCTATTACAAGAAAAGAATGTAGCCCTCGATGATATTAAGACAGTAGTATCTAATTATGTAGCTGCCAGTAAAGATGATGATAGACACGAGAATAATACCTCAATTAAAGATTTAAATTCAGAGTCATTAAGTTCAATGGTTAGTGAATCCCGAGATTTTGTGAAGGAAACAAAGAAACATACCCCAATGGAGCTAGTATTACCGGAAGGCGATAAAACTTTTACTGCTAACCCATCTTCTGAAACGCTAGCAACCGGAATGATCTGTTTTCCAAGAATAACGTATATCGAGGATAAGAAATATATTCCTAGAATCCTTCAGAATCCACCAAGTCTCTCCATAATTGAAGACTCACTTTCAAATCAGAAAAAATATGATATTCCTGATTCCTGGACCGTTGGAAATGAAACATTACCAGGGATGTTATGTTTAACAAATGATGAAAATATAGTAATTGTTCTTACAAATGATAACAAATTTACAGTGTATGATCTGGAGAAACAGAAGGTTTTGAATAGTGCTGATTTTGAAGTAAAAGATGTAATATATATGTACTGTCATGAAAGAGTAATGAAGAATCATGTCCTTATAGTAAAGAAGGATGGTTCGGTAGTATATATCAACTATAAGAATAATTCCAAATTTGAAGATTCAATTACCACTGTTCTTTCTGGAAACCCACATATATCTTATAAATATGCTCAGTTGCATAAAGATGGTTTACTTCTCGCCTTGGGGGATGCTTTGACGGTTTCCTTAATAAATTTATCAAGTCCATTTGATCAACCAATACTTTTCAAATGTAACCAAGAGATTCCAACAGAAGGTGATATAACAAAGGTTTTCTTCCCAAGAAACGGTTATTGGATGATGGTTCAATCTCAAGCAGAAATATTTACATTTGATTTACGTAAGGATGACCACTCGGTTATGGCTACCCCTCCAATCAAGTTTTCACACCAAGATCTCTTGAAATGGGATATTGATCTTAGTGGGAAAATTCTTGCCATTTCTGAATCTGAACAATCTAAACAAACAATCCATTATTATTTTTACTTGAAGGCAAAAAAGCAATGGACTCATCATTCTACACATAAGGTGGAACAATCTTCTGTGCCGGAACCAGATAAATTTGTTGTACTACGAAAAAACAATGAGAATAATAATATTGTTCTTTACCAAACTTCAGATGGAGTGAGTGAAACAGTGAGTATGAATGTTTAAATCTCCTTCCGTATATATTTAGGTACATATATTAAATATTTTATACACATATTGATACTAAAAAAAACAAAAAAGGTATATTCAGAAGTTTAGAAGTTTTGAGCTTTGTAACCTTTCGTATCTATTCATAGGTACCTTATCATGTCTACTGGGCAATATAGAAGAATCTTTAAATATAGAGAGACAATTATTATCTGTTCTCCAAGCGAAGGGAGGTACGAGGCGATGGTTTGAGAACACAACAAAAGCTAAAACAACAGCGTTATCATAATAGGGATACAAAACTGACCAATTTTTATACACATTAAAGATATTCCATTTTACGATGTTAATAAACTGAAACTAGCAAGCAACTTATACAATTTGAAAAGACTTTATAAACAAGTCAATACGATAAATAACCCCCGGATATTATGTTAGAGTCCTTAGCTGCAACTTTGTTGAACAGGCTATTAGGATCTTATGTTGAGAACTTTGATCCCGATCAATTGAAAGTGGGTATATGGAGTGGTGATGTTCAGTTAAGGAATTTGACGCTAAGAAAGGATTGTTTAGATTCTCTCGATTTACCTGTAGATGTCAAGTACGGTGTCTTAGGTGATCTAGTATTGAACGTTCCTTGGTCTAGTCTTAAAAATAAACCAGTTAATATATTTATTCAAGACTGTTATTTATTATGTATCCCAAGAGATTTACACTCTTATTACTCTCAAGAATCATTAGAACGTGAGTTTAGGCAAAAATTGAAAAAGCTGATGCAATGGGAGCTTGCCAATAAAGCAAGAAAGAGTCAAACCATTGCCTCCAAGACAGAAGGGTCTGAAAATGAATCATTTATGCAATCTTTAATAACCAAAGTTATTGATAATATTCAAATTAGTATTAAAGACATTCACATCAGATACGAAGATTCTACTTGTATTTTCTCTCCTATTCCATCTTCTATTGGAATTTCTCTCCATGAATTATCTGCAGTTTCAACAGATTCCAATTGGACACCTAAATTCATTGAAACCACACAATCCATTACACATAAATTATTGACTCTGGATTCCTTAAGCATATACTGGAATACTGAAACTAATGAGTTCGTAAACATGAATGATGTTGACCCCATTCGATTTTTAGAAAGTTTTAGGCAATATAATGACGACAATAGAAAATCATACCAGTATTTATTAAAACCTGTAACAGGCATGGGTAAGTTGAGTATAAACAAACTTGGAACTACAGAAGCTCAACCACATCTTGATTTACAGCTGATTTGTAACCAATTTGGGTTAGAATTAGACGATGCACAATACTCAAGCTTCCTACATTTTATATCAATATTAGAAGTTCAACGAGCTACTCAAAAACTTAAGAAGAATAGACCAACATACACTGTAACCGAAAATCCAAGGGGATGGTTCAAATATGTTGCATCGTGTGTTCATGAAGAAATTCATGAAAAGAATACTATGTGGACATGGTCACATATCAAAAAAGCAGCAGATAGTAGGAAGGAGTATATTGATTTGTGGATGGAAAAACTAAGATCTGGAGATATTGAAAAGCCTTTAAGTAACACAATAAAGGAGGAATGCTTAATAAACCTGGAGAAGGATTTGAATTTCGATACCATTGTTCTTTATAGATCAATCGCAAATGGGAAATATATTGAAAGTAGACTAGCCTCAAAGGAAGGTACTCCAACCTCCTCAGAACCTTCATTACCTCAACCAAATCAAGAAACTAAACCTGGTACCTGGATTTCTTCATGGTGGAGTGGAGATGCTATGACTACCCAACAGGACAATTTGGTTCTCACGGAAGAGCAGAAGAAAGAATTGTATGATGCCATTGAATTTAATGATCAATTACAGAGCAACTTAAAAAATAAACATGTTGATAGACACTTAACCCAGATGAGGGTTACTGGTTTATTGAGGAAAGGTTTTTTGATCCTTAAAAATAAAGAAAAAAATGTCCGTCTAGGTACAATGACATTCCAGAATTGTAATTTAGAATTCCAGAATAGAGAAGATTCTAGTTTAACAAATTTTAAGCTTCAAGAATTTAAAGTTGAAGATGGCTCCCCAAATAGTGTTTTCAAGGACATAATTTGTTCCAAAGAAGTGGTTGGAGATAATGATACAACCCTAAGTGAACCGCTGTTCCAGGTTTTATATGAATCTAACCCATTGGATGGATTAGCCGACTCTCGGGTCGATTTAAGATTACTAGGAACAACTGTCTTTTATCATGTACATTTCATTTCTGAAATTATGAGGTTCTTCAAACCTAAATCAAACCAAATGGATTCGGTAACAGCTATTATTAACGCAGCAAGTACCACTGTTGAAAGTTGGACAACCCAGACTAGGATGGGAATAGAATCACTACTTGACGAGCATAAGACTGTTGATTTAAACTTAGATCTGCAGGCACCTTTGATTATTATTCCTTTGAATCCGTTTTCGTGGAAAACACCTTGTGCCCTTATCGATGCAGGTCACATATCCATTGTTAGTGATTTGGTTTCCAAAGAAAAAATTTCAGAGATCAAAGAAATGTCTCCCAGTTCCTATGATAAAATTGATGGATCAGATATTAATAGACTGATGTTTGATAGATTCACATTAAAGTCGCAAAATACCCAGATTTTAATTGGTTCTGATATAACTGACACCCTAGATAATTTGAATAAGTCTTCTTCTGGCAATCGATTCTATATTTTGGAGAAGATGCAACTTGATATCATAATCGATGTCTCCATTTTACCAAAGGCTCTCAGATTACCAAGAATAAGAATTTCAGGGCATTTGCCTAAATTATTTATGGCTTTCAATGATTATCAATACAAAATATTCTTGGATTTAGCTCGTAATATAATTCCTCCCGTTAATGATTTCGACGTAAACGCGGACTACTATGAATCAAAGAATGGACAGCTGTCATCAGAAGAGCAACAGTTGGAACAAGAAAACTTGAGAGCAACTGTTGAATCTCTTACAGGTTTGTCTGAATTGGAACTGGAACAAAAATTTCTCGATATTCATTTTGATGTTGATGAAGCTCAGTTTTCTTTGCATCAGTGTTCAGACATTAATACTATGGAAAATAAAAAGTTAATAGACTTGGTTTTTACAGATTATAATTTTACATTTGAAAAGATGATGAAACAGATAAATGTCAATATGAGTGTCCATTCTGTGGCTGTTGAAGACCACATTGTGGATACGGATTTTGCCGAGTTTAGAACACTAATCAGTTCAGAATTGAATAGTAAAAAAGGCAATATTATGACAATTGAGTATAAAAGGACACAGAGGATTGTTACTCATGAGGATAGCTTAATAGAGGTATACGATCAAGATATATTTATAAGTGCAACAAAGATGAAGTTGATCTTAACTCCAAAATCAATTTTGAGCTTAATGAACTATATGGTATTAACATTTACAGATCCTAATGCTCCAGAAGTTCCTGCCGATCTTTTGAAACACAACGACGAAAACCATGACGATTCACCACAGCAGTTAAAGCTTAAATTTAAATATGAAGGTATGGATATTATCCTAAATGATGATTCTATGAAACTAGCTACATTTACTCTTTCTTCAGGTGAATATGATCTCCTACTTCTACCAGAATCAATGAAGTTTAATATGAACTTTGATGGTGTTGAACTTGTCGATGAAATAAATGAAGGTGTTGGTAAAGACAGTGTATTCAGGAAGTTGATAAGTATGAATAATCAAGACCTTGTGGGATTACGCTACGAGAAATATGACGCAACAACGAATAAGAACAATTATGACTCTATGCTAGTATTATCTGCAGGTGCGATGTTTATTAATTTTAACAAAGAGTCAATAAGGAGAATTGTGCTATTTTTGAAGAAATTCCAAAAGATGAAGACTTATTTTGATAGTTTGCGTCAAGCAGCATATAATCAAGCCCCATCTTTTTCGACAGTTAACAATATGAAAGTTAATGTTAGTGTTAAAGCCCCGATCATTCAATTCCCAAGATTAACACCTTACACGAAGGATAAGGTCGATAGTATTAAGTTTTATTTGGGTGAAATATTTATTGAAAATGACTTCATTGAGTCAAGTACCAAAAATATTATTAACCATATTAAATTAGGTCTTAGAGACGGACAGATAGCGTCATTGTTTCATTTAAAGAATAATATTTCACAAGATCTATATATTGCGGATGGTATGTGTATAAATTTTGATATCAGTCACAATCAAGAAAAAAATAACATCTCACCAGTTTTTAAAATTTTGGGTAAATTAGATCCATTATCGTTAAATGTGACTGAATTACAATTGAGTTATCTATTTGATATTATTAATCTTTTAGAGGCAACTTTTATCTTACCAGATGAAGAAATTTTAACCAGTGCGATATCCACAGAACTAAGTACAGAACTAGATACCCACTCTGATTCAGAGTATGATATTACTGGGACTAGTAGTTTGTCTCCGGATCCCTCATCTCCATCGAATTTATCTGACGGAGAGCACAGCACTTATAATAGCATTGATTTCAAATTTTCTGCACCTTCCATTTCTTTGGCATTATATGACAATACTGACTCCTGCTCAAGTATAGAAAAGAAAAGTTTGACCAAAGTAATGATACAGGATATGGCATCAAGTATTATCGTTCATACCAATGGTTCATCTGAAGGTAATGCTCACATTGCTTCTTTTACTGTAAAGGATACCCGTGATAATAAAGATAACAAGCATCCAGAGCTTATTCAGAGATTTAGCTCTGAAGAATATCAATTTTCTGCCTCCGTTTCTCGAAAGATCGTTTCGAATAAATTAATTACGAATATATCTAGTACCATTCACAATCCGCGCATTATCCTAGCGTTGGATCATATATTTGCAATCAAGCGTCTATATGATACGGTAATGGCTCCCAGGAACTCCATGAAGCAGTCTTCATCTAACGCTCCAGCTAAAGTGATTTCAGACTTAGCGGATACCAAAGATATTAATAACTCACAGGAGAGTAGTACATGGCAATATTCATTTAACGTAATTGATGCAGCAATAATTTTATTAGCAAATCCATCAGAATTGGATTCGGAAGCTGTTGTTTTCAGAGTAGACCAATTTTTGTTCACAGAACAAACTATAATATCTCTTTCGGCAAATAATATTGGCATGTTCTTATCGAGGATTAATGACTTGGAAAAAAATAAAGTGAGACTTATAGATAATTTCTCATCCTCTTTAATAATTGACAGGAGGGATACTACACCTCAAAAGCTCCTGACAAAAATACATGCGTCTGTTGAACCTTTAGTTATGCGTATTTCCCTTAGAGACATCCGTCTTGCAATACTGATATTTAACAACGCTATTTCATTGATGGACATCAATAAAATTGGTTCGAAGGACGAAACAAACAGTGAAATGGAGGGGACTAAAGGTATCTTTTCAAAAGAGTTTGAAAGACATATGAAAAAATATATTCCGAGTTTGAAAAGTGTTGGTTCTGAGACAACAGACGTAGTTCCATTAGACAGCATGGTTAAGCAAACTAGTACCGGTATTATCTTGAAAGGTGAGGCATTCGATGCAGATTTTGGGGGGTGTAGAATCATTTTATTAGGTGATGTACACGAAATGCCGATTATTGAAACACAAGTAGGTGCCTTTACAATTAACGCCTCAGATTGGTCTACTGCTTTTGATGGTTCGACAAATATTGAGGCTGCCATAAACGTTTTTAATTATTCTAGATCTAGCTGGGAACCATTAGTTGAGTCAGTTCCTATTGGTTTATATATAAAGCGAGGGACAGAGAATACTTCATCCATGAAGTTCGATATAATTGCCAGGAAGAACACCGAAATTACATTGTCCTCAAGAGCAATTGCGATGCTTTCGAGCATTCCAAAATCTCTAAATGGTGAAGTACATTTAACTCCAAGAGGTTCAAAGAAACCATATAGATTAATAAATGATTCAGGATTAGATTTGAAAGTCTGGATATCAGACTCAGCTAACAGAGAAAATAGAGAAGGATTGGTATACCTTAAGGCTAACTCGACTGAACCCTGGGAATTTGAGGATTGGAAATCCATTAGAGAACGTTTAGATACGGATAGGACAAAAAGTATCTTAGGGGTTAATATTGATAATTCTGCATATACCAGTACAATGACCATTGATGCTACTTTTGAAGGTGAATTATTACATGTTTTACATCCTGCAGTAGACCAAGTTCATAACAGAATTATTTGTGAATTGAAATGTAACGATGATAACGTAAAGGATATAACTTTTAGATCAACATTGTTATTGGAGAATATAACAGGTATTCCATTGAATTTTAGAGTAGTTAAATTAAGCGATGATAAAACAGTAGAATTTCAAATAAACCCTTCCGAAAGTCGTTCTGTTCCAGTTGAGTATGCTTATGCATCTAACATATATGTGCAACCAGTAACCAAAAAGAAATTTGGGTGGTCTTGTCATCCGATTGTATGGAAGAAGCTTTTGGATGTACCAGCCTCCATTGATTGTGATACAGTAGATGAAAACGATCAAGACCAGATATTTTTTGAAGTGAATGCAAAATACGATAAAAGGGAACCGCTGGCTAAAATATATCCTCATATGAAAATCACTGTTTCCCCATCTATTATCATTGAGAACCTGTTACCTTGTGATATTGACTTTTCGATATTTAGTAAACAGGCAGAAATAAGAAATATTAAGCACCTCGCCAAATCAGAAAAGATGACAGTTTATGATGTATCATTAAACGAATTTTTGTTACTGGCAATTAAACCGTTAGTTGATGACACACCTATGTCAAAACCTTCTATAATTAATACGCCAAAAAAATCGCAGCTACAATCTGAAAGGGCCATTACATTACGTATGCCAAATGGTCAACAACTACAGGTCTACCTGAAATATCTGAGTATTGAAGGTAGTAGGGCCAAAACGATTAAGATTTACTCTCCATACATTATTATGAACTGTACAGATAGAGATTTATACATGGAAGGATCGTTTGGGAATATTTTGCAGTCCAAGATTAGTGTTGAGGACGGGAACAGATTCACCATACCAAAGATGTTTTCATACGATATTGACGGTGACAAAAATAATAGAGCCAGAATAAGATTTAGAGAGACAGATTGGAGTACCCCATTATCTTTGGACGCTATTGGACAGTCATTTGATGTTACAATGGGTATACTTAACAAAGCATTGGAATGTAATCTTGGTATAGATATTACAGAAGGTACCGGGAAGTATTCTTTGAGTAAAGTGGTAACAATTTCGCCACGTTATATTGTCAAAAATGAATTACCTTTCCCAATAGTCGTTTGTGAAACAGGTTCTGTAAATTCTACCGAGATGACTTCAGGAGGTTCTGTCGCCTTGTATAACTTAAGGAATATCGTTAATAAACAATTAGTCTTAAAGATGCTAGGTTCTAATTCTGAGTGGACAGCCCCTTTCTTTATCAAAGATATCGGATTAACATATTTGAAGCTACTACAAGAAGACGGTACACATATGTTGTTAAAGTTAGAAGTCACATTAAATCAGGCAACGATATTCGTTAGAATTAAGGATGGAGAAAACCTATGGCCATATTCGATAAGAAATTTTAGCGATAACGATTTTATATTTTATCAAAGAGATCCTTCAGTGATAGATGAATACTACGACGTAGAACCGGAAGAAGAAAAATACAATAACGAATATAAGCCATTGTATTACAAAGTTCCTGCCAAGAGTGTGATGCCATATGCTTGGGACTATCCAACAGCTAGGCAGAAAAAGATCGTATTACTGGTCAGGGGGCGAAAGAGAGAAATACAATTGGCAGAAATAGGTACCCAAAAACCAATGCGTTTACCTGCCCGGGTGGCTAATGAACAACCAGCAATTGTAGACCTCAACGTTATTGCTGATGGCCCCACTCAAGCGTTAGTAATATCCAAATATGACCCAATTTCAAGTATTTACAAGTTACGTGATGTACCAGTTTCGTCCAATAATAGTTTAACTCAAGCAAGGGTCAGTAGCAGAGCTGTTGGGTCTAGTCCTTCTTTGGCTAGTACACCTGATCTATTTGAAACAGAAGAAGAAGACAACAAAATTATAAAGAGCATATCTATTAATATTGCTGGATTCGGTGTTTCCTTAATTAATAAACAATTGAAAGAATTGGCATATGTTAGCGTCAAGGGTCTTGAATTGACATTCAAAGATAGCGATTTATATCAAACATTCGGATGGAAAATAAAATGGATGCAGGTTGACAATCAAATCTTCGGGAGTGTTTACCAAAACGTTTTGTATCCTACGGCAATAACAAAGAGTACAGAAGATCTTGATTCCCATCCAATATTTTCTGGGTCTATTTCTAAAGTCAAAGATGATTCTTTTGGATTACCATATTTCAAACATCTAACGTTTTTACTGCAAGAATTTTCAATACAGTTGGATGAGGATTGGGTATACGCAATGATCGATTACATGAAATTCCCTGGATCTCCATTATACAGTGATTTGACCAGCGTTCCTTTAAAAGAGAGAAACTCGTTACCTAAAGTTGAGGAATTAAATTTCTCAAACGATGTTTATTTTGAAATGTTTCACATCCAACCTACGATCTTACACTTATCGTTTGTTAGTTCTGAGGATACCAAATCAGGTGAGGATGAAGAAAATGAGAACGGCTCAATAGATGAATATAAGGATAATGTTGATGAGAGTTCATCTGCCTCGGTATTTTTACTACATGTTCTGACAATGACTGTAGGTAATGTGAATGACGCACCAATTAAGTTGAATGCCCTTTTCCTTGACAATGTAAGAGTTCCGATTCCACTGCTCATGCAATCTGTGAAGACTCATTATAGCCAACAATTTTTCTATCAGATCCATATGATTCTTGGTTCCGCCGATTTCCTGGGTAATCCTGTTGGATTATTTAATACTATTAGTTCAGGTGTATGGGACTTGTTTTATGAACCGTATCAAGGCTATATGTTGAACGATCGTCCACAAGATATTGGGGTGTTTATTGCAAAAGGTGGTTTATCTTTTGCCAAGAAGACTGTATTTGGTCTATCTGATAGTATGGCAAAGATGAGTGGTTCGATGGCTAAGGGACTTTCTGTTACTCAAGATAGTGATTTCCAAGCTACAAGAAAATTACAACAAAGAATGAATGCAAATTCAAGAAATGTCTTTTCAACTTCAGCCCAGTCGTTTGCTAGTACTCTAGGAAGTGGATTTGCTGGTGTTGCTCTTGAGCCACTCAAAGGTGGTCAACGTGAAGGCGCTAGTGGGTTCTTTAAGGGGTTAGGAAAGGGTCTTGTAAGTTTACCTACAAAGACAGCTATCGGATTCTTAGACCTTACAAATAATTTAAGTCAAGGTGTGAAAAGTTCTACGACTATATTACAGGCTCAAAATGATCAAAGTGTTAGACTACCTAGATATGTCAATCAAGATCAAATTATTCGTCAATATGATTTACGAGCAGCCCAGGGACAATATTGGCTTAAATCAGCTAACGGTGGGTTATTCCAAGATGATCGTTATTTAGCACATACTGTATTACCTGGTAAAGAATTAAGTGTCATTGTGTCAATGGAACGTATAACAGAGATCCGTATGGCGACCCAAGAAGTAATGTGGGGGATTGAATACCATACCATCCAAGGAATTACTTTGGAACGAGGCGGAATAAGAATTAAGTTAAAGACTCAGAGTGAGTATTTCATCCCTATTGAGGATCCGCAAGAGAAACGGTCCATATACAAGAGCATTAGTATCGCTGTGGTCGAATACAACAAGTTTTGTGAAGCGGTGTTGTGATAAATGCAACCTTTCGAATATAAATTTATTTTAAATAAGAGCATAAATAATAATTGAATTTAATATCAATTTCTAAGTAGAAATGAAAAAAACCACACGTGATTTTCCCGAACTCCGGAATTCAGGCATCTTTCTCGGACATATTTTTCTTGATTGATTGGTTCTCGTCGCGTAGAGTCGGTCTGTCGGCAGGACTCATTAAGCGTTTAGCGTTTGTCTCCAAATTTCGCTAGAATATGATTGGTTCAAGTCAGAAAAAAATGAAGTTAATCTAATTATTCTTTATTTTGCACGCAAGTTTGTGTGTTCAAATTATAAATTGAAAATTTGCGCGCACATTTCTGTGGCAAATGAGAGAGGGGATAGTCAAGGGAGTGCCAGCTTTATATATAACGGTTTTCCCTGAATTTAAAAGACTTGAAACTAAACTTCAGTTGAAAAGTTTCCAACTTTGAATAAAAAGTATAAAATATATTATTATTATAATAGTTGAAATCACTAGAAATATTTGTTCTTAATAAAAGGTGTGTTCAGCGTTCCATTTAAGCAAAAGAAACAAATTATATCTTTTTCTCTCTCTATTTAATACTGTGTGATAGATAAATATTATTTAGAGTTACACTGACCTTAATAGCATAAGAACTTTTTTCATATAACTTTTTAAAAGACAAAAAAATAAAATCCCCACTAAACTATGACTCTATTAGCAAGAAACGCATGTAGTCTTCTCTCTAGGAGAGGTTTGGCATCTGCCGCAGCATCTGCTCCAAAGGCTACAACTCCAAGATTAAAGACTTTTAAGATTTACCGTTGGAATCCAGATAAACCAGCAGAAAAACCTCAGTTAAAAGCTTATGAAGTTGATTTAAACAACTGTGGTCCTATGATCTTAGATGCTTTGTTAAAGATCAAAAATGAACAAGATGCAACTTTGACTTTCAGAAGATCATGTAGAGAAGGTATCTGTGGTTCATGTGCTATGAATATTGGTGGTAGAAATACTTTAGCATGTCTATGTAAAATTGATCAAGATGAATCCAAACAGACTAAGATCTACCCTCTACCTCACATGTACATCGTTAAGGATTTGGTTCCTGATTTAACAAATTTTTACCAACAGTACAAATCCATCAAGCCATACCTACACAGAAAGGATTTCCCTGCTGATGGTAAGGAAATTCTTCAAAGTATTGATGATCGTAAGAAATTAGACGGTCTTTACGAATGTATTCTATGTGCATGTTGTTCTACTTCTTGTCCTTCCTATTGGTGGAACCAAGAAGAATATTTGGGCCCAGCAGTATTGATGCAAGCTTACCGTTGGTTAATTGATTCCAGAGATCAAGCCACTAAGATGAGACAGGAAATGTTAGAAAACTCGATGTCTCTATATAGATGTCACACTATTATGAATTGTACCAAGACATGTCCAAAGGGTTTGAACCCAGGTCGTTCTATTGCAGAGATCAAGAAACAACTTGCCTTCTAGAAGGAGTAGATCGATGTGACATTATTGAATTTTTTTCCATTTTCTTTTTCAACTTTTACCAGTTAGAAAAAAACAAAAGAACAAATTTTGTGGTTTTTGATACTTGTTATATCTTTTTATTTTCCTCCTATCCTATATATATATATTGGGCCCTTCAACAAATTAAATTAGAAGAAAACAGTTTGCTCCTCATTGAAAATATTTACGTTTTCGTTATTAAATTTACTCTCTCGTTTCGAAAGGTAACAGCCCATCCATTTATTTAATCCTTATTTATTTCCAAACTTATTATTTATTCCATAACATATTTATATAATAATGAAAAAATGATTCATTACATTAGAAATATTATTATGTAAAAGTTTATCACTTTCTCTTTTTTGTTTACTTGAGTAAGGGAATTAGTGCCTTTAAAGTTGCCTGCCTCCACCTAAAATTTAAATACTTTTTATTTTTTTTTCAATTAATTTCTTAAGATACATCCTATCTTTGAAAATCAAACCTATATAAAGTTTGAACACATTATACAATAAGAAATAGACCATTGTAGTCATAAGCTAAAGTCCTTTATTGAATTTTGTTCAATAAGAATCTATGACTTTTTTTTGTTACGCCTTAATTGTAGGCGGAATTAGGAACCTACATAATGTTGCAACACTTAATTTCCCCTTTTTTGTTCTAATAACACTTAATAGTCGTATCAAATATCGTAAAAAAGTGCTAAAGATCATCTCTTATATATCACTATTATTGTGGAGTAAGTTTTTTTTTTTTCACTCTCACCATCTTAACTATTTTCTTTTTCCTGTATACGGCAATAGAATCAGGCTTTAATATTAAAAAACTTTCAACCACATCTAATTTCCTGAAATAAACAAAAAAGAACATCAACGGTGGTGTTTCTCTGAAAACCCATCTAATAATATCTTCTATTCCAAAAAGTCTATTAGTATTACGTAACATAGGAGAAAATACAGATAAAGGAGGGGGAAGAGTAACAATATATACAGCCAGTTCATATATATGCTCTCATTTGAGGACTATACAATTCAGTTGGAGCTTTTATACAAATCTCATGTGTTTCAAGAGAAAAATGGTTATGTTACCCATAATATTAGTAAAACTATTTTTATCGTCTACTTGAAAGCAAACAAGCGAATTGCAGAGATCACTGGAGCCACCATAGTTATTCTTAGAATAGAATATAGTCAAATATATAGAGAGCCGACCCTTTACATTCAATTACAACAAGAGTATACTGATGTTTCTGGATTCTTAGTTACAAAATTGTGTGTAATTCCTGATATGACTATCATATTACCTAACCATATTCAGGGTTCATTTGTTATAGAACCCGAACAATGCCATGGTGCTATCTGGTGGTGTTTTCATCAATGTAACACAACAGATATTGTAGGAGATGGTGAACTATATAAAGATACATATTTAAAGAGATGGATAAGTTCATATATAGATGCTTGGGTATAAAAAGTATGAACATTCAATACTTTTTGGGTTTTGTTTTTTGCAAAAATATTTTTTTTTAGATTTTATAAAGTTTATAGAGCTCATATATATATAAAAATTTAAAGTTAGATAAAAAAAGGGTATTTGAAAGTGAAATCAATCATTTCAAATAGTTGTCATAAAGAAAGAAATCCAGTTCATTCTTATAAGGAAGCTACTCATAACAAAGTAGAAGAAGCAAGTTCCTTGGAGTAAATGGAGTTGATTTCTGGTAGAAGTCTGGTAGAGTACCATGGTAATTCAGTAACCATGGAAGAGACACCAGCGAAATCAACTTCAGTGAACAAAGAAGTGTAACCTTCATCACCGTTGATAACAGCCATAGCAACATCAACAACACCAGCTGGTAGTTCAGCTAAAGTGATCTTACCAGAACTGACTAGCAACATGTAGGAGAATAGATGAGCCTTAGCATCTTCCATAATACCTTCAATTTCAGCAAGTTCGTATGGAGTAATGGTGGTAGTGGCAGCAGTGGCAACGGAGGCAGCGATTAGAGCAGTTAGGGCAGATAGCTTGAAGTTCATTGTTAGTTAGTTAGTTTGGAGAGGTTGGTTAGATTGTTGTTATCGTTAGATGATGATTTTTTATATTTAATATAGAGAATGAATAAAAGAGAATGATTTCAAATCTGAATTAGAAGCAACCTATGGTCTCCTTTTATATGTTTTTTTTTTCTGGAAGTCTTAAGAAACAAATAATGCCAATAAGAAATATATTATCTACTCAATTCACTTTTTCTTTGAAAGTTTTTGTTAATTCGTAATATTTTCAAAACAGAGATCGTATATTCTTAATTCAATACCATGGAGTTCATCCTATTAAAGATATTATTCCTATTAATTTCATTAACTTCTTTCTTTTTGCACTTCGTATTTTTGTTTTAACCCAACAGTTAGAAATGAACGAATATTATACTTGTTGCATAGTTGTATCTCCACCATGCTAATGCTTCCTGCAATAGTATGATTAACTTTAAAATTCAACAATTCTGAGGTTTTTTTTTTGGTTTTAAAAAAGAAACGAATAAATATAGTTATTTTTTTTAGTATATTACAATAAATGCCATACACAATGATCCTAAATCATGGTTTATGCTAATATTAATTAGTTTGAAACGATCTCGTACCTGGTTAGGTTTGATTAATCTACTTTTTTTGCTGTCACCTAGTAGGTCGTTCATGGCAACAGCGAAGTATGCATGTCAAAAATAAATGAACGAATTTTGATGCAAAGTTCTGCGGTCATTTTTTAGTTCAAAAATTGACTCGCGCAGGCAACAACCGTGTACCTGTGTCCTGTTTGCTTCTTCCTATAATCAGTCTGAGACTCTCGAGGAAGTTGCAGTAGTAGTGATGTATGCTGCTGTTTCTAATTGCAGGTTCAGTTTCATTTCTAAGCATTTATTTTTAATTTTCGTTCATGAATGAAGCAGTCAAGCGTTTAAGATACGATCATGGCCTATTTGTAGGTCAGTGCATGATAAAATTTAACCATCCATGGACTTTTTTGGGGGTCTGTTCTAATTTTTGATATCTAAATACGAGACTTAGTCAGCTCGTTTATAACAATAACTTAAAATAAGAATATTTCCAATATCTTGGCTGCAACAGAAGAACTTTCTCAACGTCTTCTATTCCGATTGTTCTATCTTCGTTTACGCAAATACCTATAATAGGTAATGTTTTAAGACCAAACATACTTGCAATTAAACCATACTAATTTAAACTTTTTTCCCTCTTTCTCTTTCTTTTTTTTTATCTATTACCAAATTAGTAGTCCCTTTATCTCCTACACTAACTTCCAGCTCTGGTTACTTCTTTTCTTTCTCTTTACCCACCCCTATTAATAATTACTTTTGTTAATATTAAATCTTAGAATCTTTATTACTTTCGATGCTTTTTTTTCTATATAAAATTTACAAACGAGTGAAGTGAATGAAAATAGTTAATAAATTTCATTTACGTACATTACCACATTTGGAAAAAACGAATAACATGCAAATTTTGAAAGATGTAATATCTCGTTCAAAATATAACAAAACATTCTTGTATAATCTTACTTTGATTCCCCGGATTAATTGTTTGGTTAACTATTGTCACCAAATTTCTATATTCATATTGCTAAGACTTATTATTGCTATTCTTTATTATTTTCTCTTACTGTCATTAAATTATGGGTGTATTTCTTAAAAAGAACAAAACTTTATTGTTGGTACAACAACCAATCGACAAGAGAGATCATTTTACACTTACGAACTTACGTTAAATGAAACCTATGTAAAACCAAGCCACCCCCACATCTCACTATCATTCCTTTTGTAACAGTTAACTATAGATAATAAATGTGTATTTCATCTCTTCTCGTAATATTTTAACAAGGTTATGGACCTCCAGAAGAACGTTCCTTCATCTTAAACCATGGGAAAACACCTTTTTTCGTTTTTTTGATGATTTGATCTTAAGAAAAATTTCTGTGACTTGATTATTAGGATGTATGGGTGTTACACCCATACATCCATATATTTAATCTAGAAAAAAAATAATTATTTAAGGAATAATTAGAATGAAATTTATGATACTTTTTTAATTGTTTATGGTCGCACATTCATATTGAAACTACTACTCGGAAAAAGACTGAAACGCCTGCAGTAATAACTTCTTTGTGTGAAATTTTTCAAAATATTGAGGTAAGAACGGAAAGAGGCAGAATATCTTCGTAGAAGCAAAGGTTTGTAAAGAAATTACTACATAGCACTCTCTTCATTTACCATTAGAATCGATGATTTTCTTCAATCCATAATAATAAGCGGTTCAATTTCAGTGTTCTTGATAGCAAAAGCTTAGCGAATAATTCAATAAACCAAAAATTTGTATGAGAGATGAATACTTCCAAATCTAACTCAATCTATGCGATGATGAAACATTTGCACACAATCCTAGTGATTACTATCTTGAATTAATGCAATATCTTATGCAATTAATAGTTATTTTTTAAAATATTTTCTTATGATAATTATGTTTAAGTGCTACTTATTTTAAATTTAATTATTTCTTGTACTTCTCTTTCTATTTTAATTTAAGAGACTGAACAAACTAAGCAAAAAAACATCAAAAATGGCTCCAGGTAAGAAAGTTGCTCCAGCTCCATTCGGTGCTAAGTCTAACAAGGCTTCTAAGGCTAAGAACCCACTAACCAACTCTACTCCAAAGAACTTTGGTATTGGTCAAGCTGTTCAACCAAAGAGAAACTTGTCCAGATACGTCAAATGGCCAGAATATGTCAGATTACAAAGACAAAAGAAGATTCTATCTATGAGATTAAAGGTTCCTCCAACCATTGCTCAATTCCAACACACTCTGGACAGAAACACTGCTTCTGAAACTTTCAAGCTATTCAACAAGTACAGACCAGAAACCTCTGCTGAAAAGAAGGAAAGATTAACCAAGGAAGCTGCTGCTATTGCTGAAGGTAAGACCAGACAAGAAGCTTCTCCAAAGCCATTTGTCGTCAAGTACGGTCTAAACCACGTTGTCTCCTTGATTGAAAACAAGAAGACTCAACTAGTTTTGATTGCCAACGATGTTGACCCAATTGAATTAGTCATTTTCCTACCAGCTCTATGTAAGAAGATGGGTGTTCCATACGCTATTGTCAAGGGTAAGGCCAGACTAGGTACTCTAGTTAACCAAAAGACCTCTGCTGTCGCTGCTTTGACTGAAGTCAAGCCAGAAGATGAAGCTGCTCTAGCTAAGCTTGTCTCTACCATCAACGCTAACTTCGCCGACAAGTACGACGAAAACAAGAAGCACTGGGGTGGTGGTATCATGGGTGCTAAGGCTCAAGACAAGACTGCCAAGAAGGCTAAGGCTGCTGCTTCTGCTTAATTTAATTAATGAAATATATATTAAATAATTCTCGATTTTATACATCCATTTTTTTCTATAATATTAATTCAAATTTAGCATCTTTTACAAAACGAATAAGATTCAAAATCTATAACTTATTTATAATATTTTCTTTATAAACTTCTAAAGATGAATAAAGTTAAGATTATTTTTTATGATCTTTTTATATAGAGATATTTTGACCCTGAGCGGCTACTGGTTCGCTTTACCCCAATACTCCGAAATTCGCAGTATATAAAAGGGAAACAAAAACAGAACAGTCATTTTTTACCACCTTGAATGAGAAACCAATCTCATAATTCCCTGATAAACAAATAATAATCAATATATTCTTCGCATTTTATTCTCGAACCTTTGTCCCCACTTAATCAGAAAATTTACCAATAATGGAACTTGAAATGCCACCAAAAGAAATCATCCTTAAAGATACAACTAACATTAAAGTTACTTCAACAACTAAAGACAACAAAAGAGGGTTACTCGAATCAGAGAGAAGTTCTGTTTATGTTGGTAACATTCCAATGGAATGCACAAAGAAAGATTTACAATTGTTCTTAAAAGATGAAAAAGATGTGTTAAAGATATTACTGCGTACAACGAAAGTTAAGGTCGCAGGTAAAACAAAAGTTATAAAGTTCGCATTTGTATCTTTTAAAGTTAATGTCAATGTCGATGAATTAAACTCTAAGTATAGTAACAATAATTTCTTCGGCATTAAACAGTTGTACTTTGAAAAGGTAGAGACTAAGAAACCAACTTCTCAAAAAATTGAAAATATTGATCAACGTATTGTGAAACCATCTACTGCTTCAATCTTAAAACCTGATGTTCGTAACACTTCGACAAAAGTCAAGGAAAATTCTCTAGAAACTGAAGTTGATAATCGAAGAGGTAACTCGAATAACACATTAACCAAATATAGTGATGAAAAGAAACCTAGAAATAATAAACTTGAGTCTAAATATCCCTTAGGTACAACTTCAAAGAATAAAACACCACCACCACATTCAAAAAAAAGTGCAAAAACAATATTTATCAAAAATATACCATATGATATTACGAAAAAAGAATTGGCTGAATTCCTAAATGTAAACGGAAAATCGGTTTCTTTACCAAAAGGAAGGTTACAAGACTTAACAACAGGAAGAATCTTAACCTCTCATAAAACGAATAGAGGTTATTCATTTGTTACGTTTGAAAATTTATCACCGGAAGAAACAATACAACAAAAAATCGATAGCTTGCAAGGAATAGTACTAAAGAATAGAAAACTTACTATAGAGTTTGCAATTGACAAAGAGGAGCCCAATGATAATACAGTGCCAACAAGTATAATATCCGTAACTAAGATGTAACATATATATGTCGTTGGTGTCGTCACATATAGTTCTGTCACATAATTCGATTCAGTTGGGTAAATCGGTACAAAAAAACAAAACAACTAAGATTTTATAACAGTAGGATGTTATCCGTCGATATTGTGTTCTTGTCTTTGTTACTAAGGTTGTGACTCATTTTCACTTCTCTAGAATAATAACGTCCTAAACTATAGAATCACAATAGAACACAAAATGTGTCATTAACATCTCTTTTTCTTTATTTTCTCATATCTTGAATTTTTCAGAATTTCTGATAACTATCTCATCGCCCTTATCTCTACGTCTATTATTACCAGCGCACCCAGATAGAGATTTCCCTGTACGGTATTTGCTACACAATAGAGAAAGGCGGTGTAAATGCAACAAATTTTTCTTTCTATTAAAAACTAAAGCTCTAATCTATATAATTTATTAATCAACTTTTTTACTATTTATTATATAACAACGACCTAAAGTTCATTTTGGTGATTGTTTTTAAAGCTCAATAGTTAAACCAAAGAATTAATAGTTATAAATATTTATTCAAAAAAGGTAATTTTTTCTTGGAAACTACCATTGAGGAATTTATTTTAAAATACTAACTAATTCTATTGTACTCTTAGTGATATCCAACCAATCAGCTATATTATACAATTTGAGAAGAGAATTTAAATAACAAAGAATTTTATTTAGGATTTATTTTGAATTGTACGCAAGATGGATCCCACATTTCGCAATAGTACAAATTCAAACCCGATTTGGGACTACGATGACGTGACCCAGTATGGTAGAATAACTTACATTAACTTTATAATACCGTTACTACTTACTCTTGGAAGTTGTTGTTTTGTTTTCTTCAATATCTGGTCGCACTACTACAGTTATGACATACTACATTTGAAGAAAGATGATTTTATACAGCATTTAATAAATTTGAAAAGACAAGCGAACCGTGGTGAGATAACAGACGAAAGCCAACATCTTTTATTATCTAACTCGGAACGTGAAAATATACAGAATAAATCTTATTCTTCTGTTAATACAATATCTGAAGGAGACCTACTGAAAGAGAAACATTTTTCGATTGAAAAACTGTCATTAACCAAACTTAACGGCGAACCTCATGGTGTACCAAGTTTAATTACTAGAAATTTCACAGAAAAGGCTAGAATTGTCATAGAGTTTATGCTTGTGATATCTCAACTAATTATACATGCATCAATAATGCTGAATAGAAATAAGCATTCCTCCTATCATGAAGAGTTTGATTATAGAAGTTCAATAATGGGATTAACCCAATGGCTATTTTTGACCATAATCATATCGTTAAGATTATTAAATGTCAACCAATCGATAGCAGTTCTTAATAAATATCCGGGAAACATATGGATGGTATCTTTTGTATCTTATCTTTTTAACTTTATTGCCGCAACTATTCCATTCCGTTCTGTATTAATCCATAGCATCAAGTCAGAAACAATTAGAAAGTATTATGTTTCTCAATTTATTAACGATGGTATATTGTTTCTTCTATTATTTTTTGCACCATTAAGAAACAATTATGTCATTTCATATAAAACAGACAAACAAACAATTCCTTCACCCGAGTCTACTACGTCCATTGCAGGTTTTATCTGTTGGACTTGGTTAGATAAATTTGTGTGGTTTGCTCATAATCATATTGTCGAACAAGAAGATGTTTGGGGTTTATCAATGGATGATTATTCTATTTTCGTATTGAAAAAATTTAAAAATTACGTTCATTCTTTTACAAATAAGAGAACATTCTCTATCAATCTTATTCTGTTCTTTAAAAATTATCTGGCAATTCAGGCTTTTTGGGCTATTATTGCCAGTTTCTTAACATTTTCTCCTACTTTATTACTAAAAAAAATTCTGGAATATGTTGATAATCAAGATTCGGCTCCAGTTAATGTTGCATGGTTGTACGTGATCTTAATGTTCATTTGTAAGCTTTTGGTTGCTGTTGCAAATGGTCAGGCACTATTTTTTGGAAGGAGAGTTTGTATTAGAATGAAGAGTATTATTGTCTCTGAGATTTATTCCAAGGCTTTAAGAAAGATGATCCAAACAAAATCTACTGAAAATAAAGATAATTCTCAAGAAAATACTCCAATACCTGAACCATCTAACGAAACTGATCCAGAAATCTTAAGCGATGCTAAAAAAGTGGAGGGTGACGAAGAATCTACAGAGTCTTCAGCAAAATTAGGTCAAATTATTAACTTGATGGCTGTGGATGCCTTTAAAATTTCGGAAATATGTGCTTATTTACATTCTTTTGTTGAAGCTATCGTTATGACTATCGTTGCACTTGTTTTACTTTACAAGTTAATCGGAGTCTCAGCCCTTGTTGGTGCCGTAGTAATTATTTCAACATTGCCCATCAATTTCAAATTGGCAAATATCATAGGTGAACTTCAAAAGAAAAACCTTCAAATCACTGACAAACGTATCCAGAAACTGAACGAAGCTCTTCAAGCTATAAGAATCATTAAGTTTTTTTCCTGGGAAGATAATTTCTCAGATGAAATCAATGAAATCAGGGAGAAAGAGCTAAGATATTTGATCTACAGATCTGTTGCCTGGGTTTCGAGTTCCTTCTTTTTCTTTCTAACTCCGGTTTTAGTCACAACAGCGGCATTCATGTATTACATTTATGTTGAAGGTAAAACTTTAACAACACCGGTTGCATTTACCGCTTTATCTTTGTTTAGCTTACTTAGAGATCCATTAGACAGACTATCTGATATGTTAAGTTATGTTATCCAATCAAAAGTATCACTGGATAGAGTTCAAGAATTTTTAGATGAGGCTGATACAGAAAAATATAACCAACTAACTATAGATCCACAAGGCAATAGATTAGCATTTGAAAACGCAACTGTTGGCTGGGGAGAAGGAGCACAAGAATTTAAATTGAGAAATCTTAACGTTGACTTCAAGATTGGTAAACTAAATGTTGTGATTGGCCCAACTGGGTCAGGTAAGACATCCCTGTTAATGGCTTTACTTGGTGAGATGCATTTGGCGGACGGGAAAATCATTGTTCCATCACTAGATGCCAGACATGATCTACGTATAGATTCTGAAGGTTTAACAAATTCAATTGCTTACTGTTCCCAGTCTGCATGGTTACTGAATGACACTGTTAGAAACAACATCTTATTTAACAACAAATACGATGAATCTAGATATCAAGCTGTTGTGGAGGCTTGTAGTTTAAAACGTGACTTCGAAATTTTGAAAGCTGGTGATGCAACTGAAATTGGTGAGAAAGGTATTACACTGTCTGGTGGTCAGAAACAAAGAATTTCCCTGGCAAGAGCCTTATATTCTGATTCCAGACACATTTTATTAGATGATTGTTTAAGTGCCGTCGATGCGCACACTGCCCTTTGGATATATGACAACTGCATTACCGGTCCTCTGATGACCGGGAGAACATGTATTTTAGTTTCACATAATATTGCTTTAACTTTAAGAAATGCTGAGTTGGTTATTCTTTTAGAGGATGGCCAAATCAAGGACCAAGGTGTACCACTTGCCCTATTAGAAAAGGGTATATTAGGTGATGACGAATTAATCAAGAGTAGTATTCTCTCTAGGCAAGCATCCTCTAGTAATCTAACTAAGAAAAATCCAAACGATATTAGTATGACTAGTTTAACTGCCGCATTGAATAAACAGATAAACAAACAAAAGAGTGGCGATTCAAGTAAAAAGAATGCATCTACTGAAAGTAATGCCCAAAATGAAGAGAATGGTAAACTAATTCAAAAGGAAACTAAAGCCGAAGGTGTTGTTGACAAAGCTGTCTATCTATGGTATGCCAAAATTTTTGGTGGCTGGAAAATTATCCTAGGGTTAGCCTCTTTATTTTTCCTATGTCAAGCAGCAAATATATCCGAGGCTTGGTGGATTCGTGAATGGGTGACTAAAAATACCGTAGTTACTTATTTGACACCTGTTACTTCCATGAGCAAATCAATGATTCCAAATGGCTTCAATCTAAGACCAAATATTAATCATTTGTTAAACAAGTTATTTTCAATTAGTGGTAATACCATTGAGACTAAAGTAGTTGCAAAACATTCCACTCGTTATTACCTAACTATATACTTCTTGATTGGTTTGATTGAAGCTATTGCTGGATGTACCAGAACATTCTGCAACTTCCTCGCAGGAATTAATGCCTCCAGAAGAATTTTTAAGAAGTTATTGAATAAAGTATTGCACTCTAAATTAAGATTTTTTGATTCGACTCCGATCGGTAGAATCATGAATCGTTTCTCTAAGGACATGGAAGCTATCGATCAAGATCTTGCTCCATATATGAATGGTGCTTTCTACTCTTTGGTAGAGTGTGTAGCAATTGTAATCCTTATTACCTTTATTACACCGCAATTTATATCTATTGCCATTTTGATTAGTGTTATGTACTACTTAATTGGTTATTTCTACATGGCTGGGTCTCGAGAACTAAAGAGATTGGACTCGATCACAAAGTCACCAATTTATCAACATTTCACTGAAACTTTAGTCGGTGTTACCACTATTCGTGCATATGGTGATGAGATTAGATTTATTAAAGAAAATTTATTAAAGATTGATGAAAACAATAAACCATTCTTTTATATGTGGGTTGCCAACAGATGGCTATCATTTAGAATCGATGTTGTCGGTGCATTTGTTGTATTCGGTGCAGGTATCTTCATTTTGTTGAATATAAATGATCTGGATTCTGGTCTAGCTGGTATTTCCCTAACTTATGCTATTTCTTTTACAGAGGGAGCATTATGGTTGGTTAGATTTTATGCGGAAGTTGAGATGAATATGAATTCTGTTGAAAGAATTAAAGAATATATGGACATTGAACAAGAACCATACCAATCGACTCAAGATGGACACAATATTGAACCACCTACCAATTGGCCACAAGAAGGTAAGATCGAAGTTAGCGATGTTTCCCTGAGATATGCTCCAAACTTACCAAAAGTCATCAAAAATGTTTCCTTCGTTGTCGATCCACAGAGTAAAGTCGGTGTTGTTGGGCGTACAGGTGCTGGTAAATCTACTATCATTACAGCTCTATTTAGATTTCTGGATCCCGAGACCGGTTATATTAAGATTGATAATATTGATATCACATCTATTGGTTTAACTAACTTACGTCGTGCATTAACCATTATTCCACAGGATCCAACTCTATTTGCTGGTACAATTAAGAGTAATTTAGATCCATATAATGAATATCAGGATAATGAAATATTTGCAGCTTTGAGACGTGTTAATTTAGTTACTCAAGAAGAATTAAACTCCCGTTCAAATGATATAACAGATGTTGTTGATAGTGAAACAGCATCTGTAACATCTGAGAATGTCAACAAATTTTTAAATTTAGAAAGTAATGTCACTGAAGGTGGTGGTAATTTATCCCAAGGCCAACGTCAACTGTTATGTCTTGCTCGTTCTTTGTTACGTTCTCCAAAAATTTTACTTTTGGATGAAGCAACTGCATCCATTGATTATGAGTCTGATGCAAAGGTGCAAGAAACTATTAGACAAGAATTCAGAGGGAGTACAATTCTAACCATTGCCCACAGATTAAGATCTGTTATTGACTACGATAAGATTTTGGTTATGGATGCTGGTGAAGTAAAAGAATATGATCATCCTTACTCTCTATTACTGAACAAAAACAGTATATTCTATAGTATGTGCGAAAAGAGTGGTGAGTTAGAGACATTGATTTCTCTAGCAAAAGAAGCTTTTGTTAAGAAACTAAACTCCAAATAGTGTTTAACACCATTTTTTAATAATTGTATATTCATTAAATAAGGATAGTTATATTTACTACGTACTAAGAGTCCTTTTTTTTTAAAGAAAAAACAAAAATATACCAATGTAACCTGGTAAAAAATAGTATTCAAGAAAAGACTCTAAAGCAAGTAATACTTGGATTGAAATGATTTTAATTAAATCTTCTACATCTCATCGTTTGGCACTGTTTAATTAACAGTAGATGAATTTTCACGTGATTTATATCACTATTTACGAGGGGATATTTTTTCTTAACGCGGCTTCCAACATCCCAAATTCCAGTATCTTCTTGAATTAAAGGAGGCAACAAACCGAAATAGGAAGCAAACACATTAAAGGATTACAATTATACATATCTATATACATAAAAGGAGGTTTAATTATTGAACTGAGTAAGAGACGAAATAAAACAATTCTCCCAAGAAAAACAATAAAATAATTAATACAAAATGTCTAGATCTGGGTATGTATATAATTGAGTGAATGCTATTTGGCGTTGTTGAGTAAACGTGTCTATTTACACCTTCTACTTTTAAAAGGTTGGCATGCCGAACCTAAGACGAATAATAACATGTTTTGTTAAGAAAGGAGAACCTGTTACTAACATTAAATTGATGGGGTATGGAAATGATGATGTGAGTATACTATTGTTAGTATGAGATAGATACGCTATCTCATTATTTTTTTTACCCCTTTTTAGTATAGTGTTGCTGTCGCTGACGAATCCCTAACTGCTTTCAATGACTTGAAGTTAGGTCAAAAGTACAAGTTCATTCTATTTGGTTTGAACGATGCTAAGACTGAAATTGTTGTCAAAGAGACCTCTACTGACGCTTCTTATGATGCTTTCTTAGAAAAACTACCAGAAAACGACTGTCTATATGCCGTTTACGATTTTGAATACCAAATTAGTGAAACCGAAGGTAAGAGATCTAAAATTGTTTTCATCACTTGGTCTCCAGATACTGCACCAATTAGATCCAAGATGGTCTACGCTGCTTCCAAGGATGCTTTAAGAAGAGCTCTAAATGGTATCTATGCTGATGTTCAAGGTACTGACTTCTCTGAAGTTGCTTACGAAGACATTTTGGCCAAGGTTACCCAAACTGCTCATTAAGGGAACTAATCGAAAAATCAACAACAACAAATGAAAAACTAAATAACTATGTTTATTAAATAAACTAAGTTATCTATTTTATAATTATATTATTTCCTGTTTTTTCCCCCTAATTAATGAATTTGAATATATAAATATACACAGTTCTGTATAGTCGATCATATAAAAACAAAATTTAACAACTAAAGCTCACAAATGTTCTTAGCAATTATTGAGAAAGGCTTTTCTAATGGTACGAATTACTAATTTATTGTGGGACCCATAGTCGATAATCAACCATTTCTTCATACCTATCAACAACATAAAAACCCTGTGGTCTCAGCTCAGGTTTTTTGGTAATTGCAGATCCAAATTTTTGATAGTTGCACTTTTTCGTCTTTATTTTTGATAGCTATAGTTTCACAGTACGTAGTGCTTATTAACGTTCTTACATAATCAAAGGAATTTGTTAATCAACGCGATGGAAATAGAGCGGAGATTAGCAAATCACCCCGTAAATCTTTCTATTATTATATCATCAATGCAGTTGGGATAGCCATAGGAAAAATTAACAATGTTCGTTCATTTCTATTTTGATAATTGTATAAAAAGAGCCAGAATACTGAAATTCTAATTTAATAAAAACTTTCTTTCGTTATATTCTATTATTCCTAAATTAGGGGACTATCCAAATTTGAAATCTAAATATTTTAAAAAAGGTTTTCTATACTACCCTCCCTCCTTACTAAGTACATTTTAGAACAATTATGACAGTCGATATTACTTATATTGGTGTTGCTACAACAGTTATTGACATTAATGGTGTGCGTTTCTTAACAGATCCATGTTTTGATCCTGCTCAAAAATATGATATGGGTATTGCTGTTCTAGAAAAGACAATTGATCCAGCTATTAAAATTAACGAATTACCTCCAATTGATGCTATTTTACTTAGCCATGAGGATCACCCAGATAATCTGGATACAACAGGGAGAACTCTGCTACCAGGCCGTCATGTCTTCACTACCACAGACGGTGCTAAAAATCTTACCGGTAACCCTGGGGTTTTAGGTCTCAAACCTTGGGAAAAGACAATTATTGAACTTCAAGGCCAAAAATTTACCATTACCGCTACCCCTTGTGTACATTTAGAAGGTGGTGAGGTAATTGGCTTTGTTATTGAGTCCCAATCCTTAGGAACAGGTTCAAATGGAAAACCTAATGCAGTTTACTTCTCAGGTGATACCATATATTTGCCAGAATTGAAAAAGATCAGAGAACAATGGAATGTTAAAGCTTCTATTTTTAATGTCGGTGTGGCAATGGGCCCACCTAATGAAAACCATAGTGAACCATACAAGATTACAATGGATGGGAAAGACGCTGCTGTTCTAGCAAATGAATTAGATACCGATTATGTTATCCCTGTTCATTTTGAAGCTTGGACACATTTTGCCCAGAACGAAGAGGCATTGAAGAAGGATTTACAAGATGCTGGTATCATGGACAAAGTTGTCTGGTTACCAAAAGATGGTAAACCTATAAATATTTTTTAGATATTCTTTATTTATTTTTGATATAGTCTTTAATACTTTTTTATCTAGTTTGAATGTGCAATCAAATCAAAAAGAATTATAAAATAGAATATATACTTCACGCCCCAAAACATTTATTCGAAAGTTAATAACATATAAAAACAGAAACCGGATTGTTATCTCGAACTTTACAGAACATACCAACAGGACAATTAACGTGAGCAGTTTATTTTGATAATGGAATAAACACCGAACATATAAACAGGTTGCACCAATGTTTATTATATGTCCATCAGGTACGACTAACAGTTATGATTGGCATATATATGCAAATTAATATTTTTAAACTTATCAGCATCCTTTAAAACTTCAAGTATACTTCAGATACATAGACGATAAAGCTATCCGTCCGGCGAATATTATGTCATATGCACTATCTTAGCCACCAATAGCAAAGAACGCACATTTGAAAACAACAAGAAATTGGATTCTTACGCTAAAAATATCCACTTTTTTATTTCAAACTTTTGACTCACCTTTCTCAATATCTTCAATATGGTCGGTTCCCGAGAGAGAATGTCCACTTCCTGATTCATCGCTATCTTGACTTTTTAAGTCATGAACTGTGACTTTATGTTCCCTTAAGAATACCACACTGATTAGTAAACCAGATACACTACTAGCCAATGAAAAATATGAAGTATTTTGAAACCTTGTCTTAATGTCTGCTTTTGATCCTGTCAATTCACCAAGAATAGACGCTAGAACGGAAAAAGTAACCTCAGATCCAAATTGACCGAATGTTTGCATTACACCGGAAGTGATACCTTTATATTCTAAGGGTGCTTCACCAACGGTGATACGTAACATATATGGGAAATATAATCCAGATCCAAATCCTCCAATCAACCCTGTTACAAAAAATAATTTCCAAAACAACTCAGTTTGAAGTTCTTTAATCTGAATTAAAATGATAGATGATGCAAACATGAAGACAAACCCAACAATGATACCATTTTTAGGACCCAAGGTATTTGGTATAAATAATGAAACGCAATTTGATAAAACTAACGCGATAACTACTGGAAGTAATTTTATTGAAGCAATAATTGGACTATTATTTTCTTCAAATAAACTATACTGATTGATTATATAAAAATTTGATAGAAAACAACAATAATTTAGGAAACATGTTATCATTGCAGGCCAAAAATTAGGAAGACACATAACTTGTTGAGGAATCAGAATTTGTCTCGTACTCATATAGTGGTACATCCTATTCAAATGTGCCCATTCCAATGCCACCAAAAATTTCGAAAAGAATATATTATAAGTAAAAAAAATTCCCAATAATACAATCCCGACAACAAAACATACATATGCAACTGGTTTTTTCCACGACTCACCACCTTCTGTTAAACCAACAACGATAAATATACTACCAGCAATGAAGAAAAATGAACCTGGATAATCAAGTAATTTAATTAAACGCATCTTTTCTGTCCAATCATTAACTTCATCATCATTATCATTATCTTCTGAGGCTAAATGCTTACCTAATGGTAGAATTAGCCAATAACTACTAATAAATATTAAGAGTAAAACCGCAAAAACTAAATAAAATAAACCTCTATAACCATCACTAGACATAGCAAAAGCACCTCCTAAGATAAACCCAATACCAAAGAATGCTGCAAACACAATAGATAATACTGATAAGAATTTTGCGGCAACTTCAGAATCATCGAATAGAGTTGGAATCAGGGCGTAGCTTGATGGTACAATACCAGCACCTGCTATACCTTGAAGAGCTCTAAAGACAGAAAACGCCTCGAAATTTGGAACAGTTGCACACAATAATGAACAAATTGAGAAAAATAAAGTTGAGATCGAGAATAAATAATGATTCCCAGCAATATCACCCAATCTACCAAAAAAAGCAATAAAACCAGCAAATGTGATAGCATAACTTGTTAGACCCCATGTAGCCTTAGTATACGATATATTGAATTCTTCTTGAACGTTCTGATTCAATGCAACCATTGCAGCCACACAACTTGTATCAAAGGCACATGCCATTGCAATGACAAAAAATGTCAAATGAATATTTTTCTTACCTTCGGTCTTCATATGTAATTATTAATGTGAAAAACAAAAACAAATAATCAAACTAAGTTTATATAGGATAGCTCTGTATTATTATTTGTCAATAGTCGTTGTTACTCGATATGTCTTTCAACAATATCTTAAAAAAAATAACCAAAATAACTTTTGATTTAAAATCTCTAAATGGAACGAAATTCTAAAAAGCAGTAGTTAACTGGATATGGCCCACATATATATAATATTCTTATAATAGAAAATTTTAATCTGCATGGTAGCCATTCCATTATTTCATTACCTCAATAGTTTTGCGATGCCATTGGGATGATTAAGATTACTTATTTCGGCCGAGATCTGACAGTATATCACGTGACTTCGGCTATGTCCTTTATTACTTCGGCCGAAACTGACCCTAGCAAATTTACTATTTTTAGTTCTAAATTACCTATAAAATAGCTGTAAGAGATATATTTTCTTTTTTTGAGCACAGTGATTTATATTTATTATCGATTTGGTCAGATTGAACAAAAACGACCAATATACAAGGAGTAACTGATAGGATTAGATACTAAATTAAATCCGAACGTGGATGAATCCAATTTTTATAGGTTCTATTCAAAGCCATAGCGTGTTCATTCATTCATTTCATTTACATGCCCAATTCCACATAGAAATTTCAAAAGTTCTAAGGGGGATAAGAACAAAATCAACATAAACTGTATAATTGTAACTCTAACACCTATATAATAATATTATTACAACTGTAACAATCAAATATACATTTGCAATATTGACATTTTTAATAAATCTTAATATTCAGATCCCTCCCTATCCTTACGTAAGCCAGGACTGAAAAATTTCCAGTTTTTTTCAGTTAACCCCGACAAGGTAAGTCGATGATGCCCTCCCTTCGCAAGGGTTGAATTGCCTGTAACAACTCTGATAAACTCAGGGGGGTATATATATGCCACAAACGTAATCATTCTATTTCTTTGCCATTGTACGACTTTTATTATTTCTCTTTTTTCTTCAATATCTAATAAAACCTATAACATACAGACATACACATATATATATATCAATTTGACAATATGAGCAAATTACCACAATTTAGAACTTTGAACAACGGAGTCCAGATTCCTGAACTTGGTTTAGGACTGTGGCAAACTCCAGAAAGCAAGAGTGCCAACATCGTTTATGAAGCGCTAAAGATTGGCTATCGTCATTTTGATTCTGCACAATGGTACGCCAATGAGAGAGGTGCAGCTAAAGGTATCATTCGTTGGTTGAAAGAAGACCCAAGAAATAACAAAAGAAAAGATATCTTCTTTACTACTAAAATCAAGGATCCAAATCATGGGTATGAAAACACTAAAAAATCAATTAAGGACTCCTTAGAACAGGTGAAGGGTATTGGTTACATTGATCTTGTCTTAATTCATTCTCCACAAAGTAATAAGGCCTTAAGGCTTGGTACCTGGAAGGCTTTACAAGAGGCTGTCAATGAAGGTGTAGTCAAATCTATTGGTGTTTCTAATTATGCAGTTCCACATATTCAAGAAATATTAAAATGGGATGAAATGACTGTAAAACCAGTTATCAACCAAGTCGAAATCAACCCATGGTTAACAAGAAAGGAAATTGTCAATTTCTGTCGCAAGAATGGTATTGAAGTCGAAGCGTACTCTCCATTAACCAGAGGTAAAAAATTAAACGATCCAACTATAAAGAAGATTGCCAAAAAATATGGTAAAGAACCAGCACAAATATTGATTAAATGGTCTATTCAAAAAGGTTTCATCGTGTTACCAAAGACAACCCACGAAGAGAGACTCCTATCTAATATTGACGTATTCGATTTCACCATTTCTGAGGAAGATATTGCTCTAATGACACATGATGATGAGTATCAAGTATTTTGTTCTTGGGATCCAACAACGTACAGAGGGTAATGTAAATAAATGTAGGGTAAGAATATATATTTATATATACATATGTATTTTAAAATGACTTCACAGCTAAATTCATGACTCAAAGTATCAATATATTTCTACCTTGTCACGTAACTGACGTACAATCTGAAGAAGGAAAAGATAAACAGGTAGAAGGTATGAGAAACAAAAGGCACACAATCTTTAACGTTTAATGTGAAATTTACGACGTAACTTTTTGATACTCTCAGGGTTAAACATAACAAGCTTCTTGACATGGAATGCGTAATATACACCCACCATAGCGAACAAGTTAAAGATAATATACACAAAGTATAATCCAAAATTCCTCCACAGGTTTGAATATGGAGAACTAATATACGCAAGGTATTCATCACCAACTGAGTACTGACAATATGCACAATTTGATGTTGCACTTGGGTCAGTAAGATATCCAGTGCCAGTTTCAAAAAAGATCTTCATGTACTCCCCACATGTTTGTCCTTCTGGTGGATCAAAATAAGTAAGCTCTTTCTTCGAACAGATAACTGGTTTATCATGCAACATAATTCCTACCAAACTTTGGATATAATATGTGTATGGTGAGGCCTTCCACATAAAGGTCCAAAATCCAGGCATTAAACGCATTGGTTGAACGACACCTGAAAATGCTATTAAAAATGCCAGACACAAACCCATGATAATATTTGCAGATGGTAAATTAGGTGACATATACAATATCATCAAACCCAAGCTTGTAAAGTAAAGTTGGAACATTACTGAATAGTGTAAGTAATACACAGCAGATCTGGAAGCCTCAAAGTTGTTCCTCAACGGGAAATAGGATGAGACAAAGAAAATGGCTGAAAACAAAAATTGGTATGGTATTTCACTAAGATATTCGGTGGCCATAATCAACGACCAGTGGAACATATTAGATTTTGATTCTCTAACTTCAAATAAGTCTCTTGAAGCGATTGCTCTGACTTGCATTTGATTCATCAGAGGAGCAGATAAAATAATTGACATCAATACTGCGAACATAGTATTCTGCATACCGATACGTGAATTTCCTGGATCGAAAAAGGTAAAACCGATGTACAAACCTGCAACCGTCATCAACATCAGTTTAGATATGATGTAACTTGTACTTCTCCAGAAGGTAAGAGCTGTCCTTAAATAAACATACTTGAATTGATACAAGTAAGATGTTGCATACTTCGTAGGTTTTATATCCTTTTCTGAACGAGTGCGTTGTGCAGTTGTGTCTGTTATCATTTTATCAATTAAACTCTCGGCTTCTTCATGTTCAGGAGAATTTAACCATATCTGGTGCCAATCTTGTTCAGCAACTTCTGTAGCACCAGCACCAACTACCTCTAAAATGTATTCAGCCGGATTCTCTTTGGACGAGCATGTTCTTGCCCCATTTTTCTCAAAATAGTCCAGTAAGACTTCTGAATTTTTACCAATATCGCCAAAATAAACTGTTTGACCACCTCTCTGTAGCAAAAGCAATCTATCGAATTGTTCGAATAAGGTTGCCGACGGTTGATGGATAGTACATAAAATAGTTTGACCTGCGTGTTCTAATTTCTTTAATAGTTGGATGATACTCCAAGCGGATTGGGAATCTAATCCAGAAGTTGGCTCATCTAAAAATAACAGTACATCTGGCTTTGCAACTAGTTCAACACCTATGGATAGTTTCTTTCTTTGTTCAACATTTAACCCACTACCTACTGTTCCTACTAAGACATCTGCATAATCTTTCATATCTAGAATATTAATGATCTTCTCCACATATGCGCACTTTTCTTCATCAGAGACGGTCTCCGGACGACGCATACGAGCTGAAAAGATCAACGATTCTCTTACTGTCAACTCTGCAATATGCACATCTTGTTGTTGAACATAACCGGTACGTCTTTCAAAACTGGCATCAATCGATAGACCATTCAATAGCATATCACCGGTAATTTCCCCAACGTTTCTTTGTGCAAGGGTATTCAATAGTGTCGTTTTACCGGCACCAGATTCACCAACCAATGCAGTTAATGTACCTGGTACACAGAAACCTGATACATTGTCTAACAGTAGACGTTTCTTACCATCATAGGGTACTGTGTAACACATATTTTTCCAGATAAATGTACCTTCCGAGTCAAAATGTTCGAAGTTATTAATAGAGTCATCTGAGTTTGACTCATCAATATATGCTTCTTTAGCGTCTATTGTTCCATCCAGTGCTTCCTCATCCCTACGTTGCTTAAGATGCTTTGCACCTTTTTTAAAAATTAGAGCATCCCCTGTCCCCTTTACTGGTGTCTTAAATTCAGTCACAATAGCCCTCAAGATATTATAACCAATAAGGAAACACCACATTATACCGAAATTTCTCCAAGTGTCCTTGTACTCATATTGAAATTGATCTTTTAAATAATCATCTCCAAGGACCCACGATTGACCTGGCTGAGCACCAACAAATGCACATGCTCGATTAGCGTCACTAACATTCTGATATGCTGGCCCCATTGGAATTAAGGTTCCACTACAGTCCATATGTCTACCATGAAATTCTGCGTTTAACATGGACTCAAAAGCGTACCTAATTGGTATAATATAAGATATCCATTTGAACCATGGATGCATTGATGGTAATTGAATCATATAGGTGGAATACATTGAAATAGACATCATCAATATACCTGCAATTGAATGTGCTTGAGCCAAAGTATCACAACCTGCGGCTACCATCTGAAACATCCCATTAATACTTTCGGAACACATTGTCAAAAACAAGTAAACAATGAAAAATGAACTAGCTGTAGGATTTAAACCTGATAAGAAGTAGATGATAATTAAAAATAGAGTCATACCTATCATTCTAAATGGGAAACCAGAAATAGCATCTGCTAGTGCTTCTGCAGCTGGATGATATAATGTATAGTATTTGTGCTTCATCATTATTGGTCTATGGGAAAGATCCATATTTGCTAAACTCATTAAAGAATAATACAACAAACAAAAATACAATACACCACCTCTTGAGAACGCACCAGAAGTCGAAGGAGAGGATTTATAAAACAATGAACCGGATACAAACGATTGAACAACTGCTGCGATAATATTAATAATGGTTGCCGTTTTGTTACCATATATTCTTTGGAATGCACGCCTTGTACACAATCTGACCTGTTCAGGGAAGGAAATGATATATGTGGATTTGTTTCTTGAATATTTCGATTTATCTTGCTCCATTGATTGACGATATAATTCTCTTGTTTCTTCTGTATTAACTGTTTTTTTATAATCTTCTATTTCTTTTCTTAATTCTTGATATGTCTGTGACTCGATCCAACGTTGTTCAAACTCTTCAGCTGTGCGAGGTACAAGATGTTCAAAACCTTTCTTTATTATATGATAACCATTTGGATCGGTGATACCTGTCAAATACTCAGCAGTGGATTGTCTTGATGGACATAAAAATCCCATTTCTTCGAAATATTTTTTTGCAGCAATAGTACTACCAAAATATATTTGTCTTCCTGAATGTAAGATAGTAACTTTATCAAACCTATCATATATATTTTCTGACGCCTGATAAATTGTAACAAAAGCAGTGGAACCTAACATATTAGTCATTATTCTAATCGCTTTAGCATATTCTAATGCAGTAGATGCATCCAAACCTCTGGTTGCATTATCCCAACAGAAAATAGAACCATTTGTAGCAAGAGCCTCAATAATAGAGACTCTTTTCCTTTCACCACCTGATACACCTCTAACAAAATCATTACCAACTTTTGTATGATAAGTATGAGTTAATCCAAATATTGTAGCATAAAGATCTCTTAATCTTGTTACATATTGAGATTTAGTTAAACCGTCTACCCTTTTTGCTGGAGTCTTACAAGCAATGGCAAAATCTATTGTCTGTTGTACTGTTAAATATGGGAAATGAACATCTTCTTCACCGTTATATATAATATCTGATTTAAAATGTTCCATCATTTCTTCTTGTAATATACCATCATAAGTTACATCTCCTGAACATCCACCTGCAAATTGATCTTTAATACCTGCTATTAATTTCAGAAGAGAAGAACAACCTGCGCCTGGTCTTCCTAATACAAGAATCATTTCACCAGGTCTTGCTAATCCATTAATATTTTCTAAAATAGTTCTCATCTTATGTCTCCTTATGGTTTTAATTTTTTTATATATAGTATAAGGTAATAAAAAAATATCTGCTACAGTAGATCCTTCCAAACTTGTACTATCATGACCTTTACAACCAACATTTTCAAAAGTTACGCCCGATTTCCTTAAATGTATACCTTGTCTATCTGCATTATCTGCATATGTTTCAAATTCTTTCTTTATATCAAATGCTTCTGTTACAATCGATGATTGCAAATCTATATCTTCATCTTCATAACTATCTCTAGTTGTATGTTGTGATAATACTTCGCCCAATCGTTCTAATTGGGATACTTCCTTTGATGATAATGGTGATGTACCTTGTCTTGTAGTCACATCTACCGCTGTATCAGTAGTTGACTCACTAGGCCAACTTTCAATTGGTAGTTGTTGACCACTTGAAAGTTGTTGACCTTCATTTCTATCTTCCTTATGATCGACTTCAAAATCTGTTTTATCTTCTGCCATAAAGAATTAAAATATATTTTTTTTTTTTAAAAAAAAAAGTGCACTATGTTATTTCTTTGAAATTTCTATTATTTGTTTAATACCATAAATATGGAATTTACAGTTCTATCTGGTGTTCACATAAATAATTCTCAAAGAAATTAGTTCTTTACCACCCTGTAAACTTGGCCAAAAGCTATATATATATATATATATATCTCCTGTTGATATGTCTAAAAATTTGCATTTCTATCTAGGGGTTGCCCTCGAAACAGCCCACAAGGGTGACTATTGTCCTCTCATCGCCCCCCACGGAAATATAATTTCTATGAAATAAGGGTTCCCCTCAAAGCGGCTAAACTTGATGGACATTAGTATTAAAAATGAAACGATGGTTGTGCGGCTGTTTCTGACAGAAATCGGGGGAGAGGGGATTTTTGCGATTGAATGCGAAAGCCGCGGTCGTAAGAATTTTTATTTGCTTTTTTGAGCTCGTTAATTCCATGGATTTAAGACAGTTCTTTTTTTTATTTTATATATATGTATTTATACAAATAACAAAAATGAAGTTTTTACATGTAATCCATTGGCTATTTAAGTAAACAAGTTAATAGGATAACACTTATCTGATCTTGGGAAATGATTAGGTTATGTAATTTCTATTATTGGGTAGATTTGTTACCAATTCTTCTTCTTCTTGAATAAATGATTCAGTTAATGATTTCCAACTTTTAACGTCAACGTCTGTAGCTTTACCTTGCCATTTCCCTCCATTCTTACCACCACCACCTCTAACATTGGGTAATATTTCATTAAATTTATTAACCACATCTTGAATAGATTTTCCTAAATCCGAAATAATCATCAATGATGCTATTTTAGTCTTCTTATCAAATCCACCCAGAATTATAACATATGAATTATTATCATCAGTACATTCTTTCAATATTTCATTAGTTAATTCTTTATGAATACGTGATAAATATTCTTGTGTACAATAATCTTCTTTAAATAAAGAAGTTTTGTTTATACCAGATGATAATCCTTTCTGTTGTTGTTGCTTAAAGTTTTGAATAATTTCTTTTGAGTCATTAATTGCAGATTCCATCATCCAAAATTGTTCACTTTTAGTCTTATTGGACAGTTGTATCTTTAATTGTTCTGTCTTTTCAGGAATTTGTATATCGGAACTACTCAATATCTGTTTTGTAATATTTAATAATTGATTAGCTTGATTAGCATATTTAAAAACACGGGTTCCACATGCAAAATATAATCTTGAATTTGTTGATCTTACTGTAGTTTGTGATTTAATTACCATAATAGATCCTAATTGAGATGTATTTGAGAGATGGGTCCCACAACATTGATTAGAGTCTAAAGAACCAATATGAATAGTTCTCACAATACCACCATTTAAAATATCATAATCATCAGGGATCTTACTAGAAGAATCTAATCCTTGTAATATACTTTCTTCAACTGTAATACGTTGTGGCATTAAAGTAATATATTGATTAATTTCATCATTTAAATAATCAATCTCTTCCTCTGTTAATCTCCTAGTCAATTCAATAAAATTTAAATAATCATTTGGATCTACATGAGAAAAACCATCATTTGGTGTTGACATAGACCATGAAACAGTCTTTAATTGATATTTTTTTTCCAGAATTGCACTTAGTAAATGTTGACCTGTATGTTGTTGCATTAAATCGATTCTTCTTCTTTTATTAACTTCGACATTTACATTAGTACCAACTTTAATAAATTGATGTACATGATGCTTCGCATACAGTCCATCACGAGATACATAAAATACAGGCACTTCAACAGTTTCATCTTCCATCTTATAACGTAAGTAACCTGTATCACTTGGTTGGCCACCACCTTCAGGAAACAATATAGTATCCTTTAATTCAATAATATACACTGGCAATTCATCTTCAATAATCTTAGCTTTTTTCTTGCTGACAGGTTTCTTTGGTTGTTCTTCGCAGGAGACTACTACTGTTTCAAAATCATTAAATTTGAAAGAATCTCTTTGACAGGCAAGTGCACCTACAACAGTTGATTTTCCAGTCATTTACTTCCTTTTATATTTATATCCAATTAGTATAGAGTCGTTCATACAACGTCCTAGATATCAGGTCAGCTATCTACAAATTACGCTCTGATTACATAATATACATATATATATATTCAAGCTGTTTGACTGCCTTTAATAATTGCTCAGTACCTGTTATCCGAGAAAAGGCAAAAAATTTACCGATGGCAGAGTGCGGTTTCCTTTATGATGTAACTGAATTGACTTTCGAGCTCAAAACAATGACAATTAAACGTCGAAATACTTTGAAGACAAAGAAAAGATCCAGATTAGTTTCACGATATTCTATCACTTGAAAACTAACTCGGTCACCATTGTTATTGTTATTATCTGGATCAACGACAATGAGTTCAATAGATATTCTGGGGTTTTAAATACTAATTATCATTATTATAATCCACTCTTTTGTATAGAACATCCAAAGGATATATCCAATTACTTTTAGAATGAAGAAAATATCTCCACATCCTAACTATGTCATGCCTATCGTTGCTGAAAAACCTTAAATTCGGACTAAACAAACTTTTAACTTATCCGAATTCATTTCGGAGAAAACGATAAAATAGTGTATCATAACATTACCTGTTGGTTGATTACTCCTAAATTCTCTCTTTAAATATCAATCAGGAAAATGACGCTATCTTTAATGGAACACCTCTCTGATCCAACAATAATTGATGTAATTTCACTTCTTTTAACCACATACATAAACCAAAAAAGGACAAGACTCACCACCTTCGTAAAATATAGAAAATATTTGGAGATTTCGGATCCACTCTCTGGGGTTCATAAGTGCTACTAAATATGAGAGAAAGAGTTTCCTTACTCACCGAACAGAATAGAACGTGCTATACGGTCGTGATCTCTGCAGAGAAATATCTCAACTTTCCCACAACGTATTGTAAGATCTCTCAACCTTACTAACCGTTTAGGTCACAGACAGCACCATTCATCGAATAAAAAACTATGTTACTGTAAACCCTTCGTAAGATCCCATTATAGTAGGTACAAACATATAAACAAACCCTCTTTATGTTTGTGGAATAAGATCTACTGTTCACCTATTTCGCGGTTCTTATAATGTTCTACTGCATTTTGTTAGAGACGCGACTCATGAGATGACTCTCTCCAGATCCGGCTTACATTTGTCTGTTTCCTTTACCGAACGCGTGGCTCCTGATAAAATTGTATGTAATTTTTTTTTCAGACCAAGTCATCGAACCTCTTTTTGAAACAATACTGTGATACCACAGGCGTTTAAACGTGCACATAATGACAATAGACTTATGTTTAATACATTGTCAATGAAGAACTTTATAATGCAATACTCCTCTCTAATTGTAACGTATGGAAACACGTTTTAGTTTCAAAATGCATTTTGCTTGTTTATCTATGAGTTATCACTGCGATGCATTGAGCTAAATAAATGGAACATTCAAGTAGGATTGGCAACGCAATTAACTGGTTCTGTTTTCTGGTATATATATATATGCATGAATCTAAGTAGTTGTCAAATATTTTCTTTTTTTAGTTCCAAAGTGGTTTTTTACTTATGGTTTGAAAGTTTCCTTCTTCCATTTAATAAAATAACCAACTATCCAAACAAACTTTTACACTCGCTTTATTCAAGAAATAAATAAACATGACCCAATTACAGAGTCTTCTAGCTTCTGTTTCGGTTCTATCTTTACTTTCCGTTGCCGATGCTTGGTCCCCAACAAACAGTTACGCCCCTGCCAAGGTTGAATGTAATGGTAAGACAGGTCTTACTAGAGAAGGTGGTAAAATCTCAGACGCTGAAACATCTTGGTTAGCCAAGAGAGATCCAGTCACCAGTGCTGCCCTAAAAAGTTTCCTTGACCGTGTTACCTCCAATTTTGCTGATAACTCCATTGTTGAACAAATCTTCAGTCAAGGTGCTCCAAAGGCCGGTTACGCTGCTTGTGGTGGTGGTTACCGTGGTATGTTACTTGACGCAGGTACAGCTGCTGCCATGGATGAAAGAACTCCAGGTGCTAACGAATATGGTCTAGGTGGTCTATTACAAGGTATTACTTATATTACTGGTGTTTCAGGTGGTGCCTTCTACACTTCTACCGTTGCTTATAACAACTGGACATCTGTTCAAGATATCATTTCTCAAATGAACGATGGTGACCACTCAATCTGGGATTTATCTAACTCCCCATTAAACCCAGGTGGTTCAGATACAGATTATACTAACCAAGTTTTCGCTGATGTTCAAACTGCTGTCCAAGCCAAACATGATGCTGGTTTCAAAGTTTCTCTTGGTGATGCTTACGGTCTGATTTGTGGTTACTACATGTACCCTTCTTTACCTCAAGGTGGTGCTACTTACCAATGGTCTGATATTCAAGAAGTGGATGCTTTCAAGAATGGTGAAATGCCAATGCTTATGGAAGTTACTGCCATTGTTCCACCAGGTGAAAAAACTGCTGGTTTAGATGCTACTACTATTGAATTGAATCCATTCGAATTTGGTTCATGGGAGCCAAGTATTAATGCGTTTTCAGACATGAAGTACCTAGGTACTGAATTATCTAACGGTAACCCTGTTAACGACGACGAATGTGTTTTGGGTTTCGATAACGTTAACTTCATTACTGGTGCTTCCACCGATGTTATCAACTACATCGCTACCCAAGGTAACGCAGTTTACACTTCTATGATATCTCAATTCCAAACCAAATTCTTGGGTAACATCACTACAGAAAGTGTTGATACTAATATCGTCTCTCCAAATCCATTCAAGGGTACTTCATACTACAGTGCTAGTCAAGGTGACTCTCTAGTTGAAACTGAGAATCTACGTTTAGTTGATGGTGGTTACGGTGGTCAAGTTATTCCACTAACCCCATTGATGAGACAAGAACGTAACTTAGATGTTGTTATTGCTACTGACAACTCTTATGATACTCCAGAAATCTGGCCAAATGGTCATTCTATTATCTCTACTTATACTCGTCAATTCCATGACATTGGTAAGACTGATGCTTTCCCATATGTTCCAGATACTGAAACCTTCGCTGCTCTTGGTCTAACTGAAACTCCAACTTTCTTTGGTTGTGATTCTTCTAACTTAACTGATTTGGCCTACATCCCACCTTTAGTCGTCTACTTACCAAACAGAATGTATTCTTACTCTTCTAACATCAGTACTTACACATTCACTTACACTAAGGAAGAACGTCTAGCCATGATTCAAAACGGTTTTGAAATTGCTACCAGAAACAATATGACTGATGATTCCGAATTTGCAAGTTGTATTGGTTGTGCTGTCATGAGACGTAAGCAAGAACAACTAGGTCTTGAATGGCCATCTGAGTGTGAACAATGTTTCGAAAGATACTGTTGGAACGGTACACTAGCTAGTGATCTAACTAGTATCTCTAGCTCTACCAACGGCTCCTCCACCACTACCACTACCCAAGATGACGCTTCTTACACTACCGAATTGACTACTCTAACTTCTGGTGAAAACTTCAGTACTATTCACTTCGAAACCTCTACAACTATTACCTGTCACGAATGTGAAGAAGCTCAAGCTACTGCCACTGCTGAAGTATGCGGAGAATGTGAAGAAGGTCAAGTTACTACTACCATCGAATGTGAAGAATGCGAAGAAGCTGAAACCCAAGCTACTGTTACCGCTGAATGTGAAGAATGCGAAGAAGCCCAAGCTAACAGTCATCACTACACAACAACTACATCTATGACAACCACTACTGAAGCTTGTGAAGAATGTGAAGAAGCCAAGGCTACTGCTACCTCTACCTCAAACTCTAACAACAACTCCAACGGTTCTTCTAACGGTTCTTCTAACGGTTCGTCTAACGGTTCTTCTAGTGGTTCTTCCAATGTCTCTTCCAACGGTTCTTCCAACGGTTCCTCTAACAAGGCTTCCTCTTCTGTACCAACAATTTTACAAGTTACAACTGCACTACCAACCTCATCTGCATTCAGCATTGTCCTGAACGAAAATGCAGGTAACAATGTTGGCGTCACTACTGGTTTAACTTTATTGGCCATCGTTGGTGCCTTCTTTGGTTTTATGTAGTACCAATTTTTCAATTGGTCCTGGACATTTATATTACCCACCAATATTTACGGTTTACTTTTATATTTTCTATAGGCTTTTCAATGTAATATTATCATATTAATTAGTTATTCTGCTTTCTTAAAGGAAGGATGGAGAATTTTTTATGTTATGACGGTTTGAAGTAAAATCATAATGTAAAAAGTGAAATGTGCGATGCATTCAACTTAAGTGACCAACACTTCTTAGACTATGGTATGATCTTAATGCAGGGTATTTAATATGCTGTACTGCTATCACTGATTTTAACCTCTTTTATTTATGTGGTATTCTTAGAGGTTATCAAATGAATTAAAAGTCTACAATTACCTCAAATATTTTTAACATTATCATGGAGTACTCTTTGCGACCTGCTTTTCAAGTCTCAGGGGTTTATACCTTTAAAATCAGGATAAGAATGTTTCAAGACCCTGGTGTCTAATGCATTAATAACTTTAATGTCTAATGTTTCACAAAAATATGGGTTCAGCTACCCGACACATATCACAAACAAGAATAATTCTATCTTTTTGCATTTTAGAAAAATTGGAAAGGAAAGAATAAAACCCATTTCTCGTTCAACCTACTCTTACCGAAACTTTTAAAACAAAGGATGACGCTGTGAAGTTGATCTATCTAGTAATACCAATGTAACTTTTATAGCTACAGTTATTATTGAAAATAATAATTAAATATTGTAACCAAAACCCTTCTAGAACATTTTAAACAGTTTATTTGTGACGGTACAGATACAAAAACTCATTAGAACCCTTTTAAACTATTGTTAGCTGTGAGTAATTTTCTAAGTTAAATATTAAAGATGTTGTATACATTTCTTAAGTAGAAAATGAACACTTAAAAGAATGTTAAAAAAGCAAACCACAGAAATTTAAATAGTAGCAACAAATATAAAAATAATTACACAGAACTCAATCTTACACATATATTTCTCAAACTTCATAATATTATCACTATTATTGTTCGAAACAAAACATACATATGTATTCTCAATATATTATATCTCTAAAGGCTTTCTAATTTTTTATTATAGCATCTGTAATCCAGATCAAGACCTTTCATTAAGTAAGAAAAACTGTTCCAAATAGTATTGTTTTAATTGTGAATATCTCATTATAACCATTTCAATTAAGTTGTTCACAATGAGAGACATGATACTTTGTACCTTTATTATAGATCCCGATGATTTTATCATACTATTACCAACATTATGTGGTATATTTTTCATTCTCCACTATTTTAGCTTAAGAATGTTTCTTTTCTTCGTATCCAAATTACTATATCAATAGAACTAGTAAAATGCATAACCCCAAATCATAGCAACAATATTGATGATATTTCTTACGTTGTTTTAGATCTTTGTCAAAGTGTATTCATTTATTTTTTTAAAAAAGGCATTAGTTACTTATACAAACATTAAACACTTAAATAACCTCCTCAATAGCATCAAGTTACTAAGATGGACTCTCATATGACACCCAGACAGATTAGTTATTTAACTGACGCAAAGTTTAACATAAAAATTGTCTTAGTACCTATAAACCACAGTGTATTTCAGAAATTACACGTAATTCATATGCTCATTACGCAAAATGTACATAAAAGATAACACTTCAGAATATTTTGGGTATTTTACTAGATCCTCACGATAAGTTTATACGTAACATAAACTGGTGGCAAAAATAATAATAATATGGACACGATTTGTATTAGGTCTTGTCACAAACTGGTAAATCGTGTAATCACGAACTCAAAGGGAATTGTTTGTTGGTTTATTTTGATCATCCAGAAGTGTAGTTTTTTGGGATACTGGTCTGCTTGTACCAGAGAGTAAAGATAACAACTGAAATACCAAAGCTAATATACCACATAGTATTGCAATTATTCCTGAAAAAGAACTTTGTGATATTACATTAGTCACACAATATAAAACAGTCCCACAAACAAGCCAGTGCTTAGAATATGTATTTGTTTGTTGACTGAAGTTGGTATTCCCAACTATTGCATCTAATATCTTTCTTATTACTTTGAAAGTAGCGTACCCTAGACAGAGAACTGTAATGATTATTGCGACAGGAAATAATTCCATAATTCCAGAAGTTAATGAAGAATTACCAATGACGATATATAAAACTACCCTTATGCTAAATGTTATTACCTGATAACGGGTAAACTCTAAAAGTAAAACATGTAGACCTCCTTTTATGTTATATTTATAGTAGCATATCTCTAGACTAAGCTCGAAGATGAATATTTTTTTGCGATATACTCCAGGCCGATGAGGCAGACGTATTTTTTATCCGGGATTCCTTAATGATCTCTATTTGTAACAATTTGACATGATAATATTAGTTTTTATTTGTAGTTTATTACCTGAGCAGAATATATATACTCGTATCTTAGTGGGTTGTCTATATAATTAAAATAGCAATATTAGAAAAGTATAGCCTTGTTATTCTCAATTTTGTTCTGGAACGTTTCTTTATTACATCATTAGTTTTTGATTAAAGGAAACAGGGAATTCTGAATCTCCTCACACAACCCTCTCTGCTTGCAATTGAATGCCCGTACCTTCATCAATCACTAATCATGTATTTATACATTGTACATTAAAAATGACATTAAGCTAGGCAAACTATAAACTTGCCTTGATCACTTTTAATTTTTCTATTTCGATCTGTTTAGATGTAGAATACAGATGTCCCCACAAACTTAAGCATCTACAAAAGAAGGTAAATAACACTAATTGTAAAAGACATCACAAGTTGGACTCAATTATTTATCATCATAAAACCCTACTGCATAACTTTATATTATTTCATACTTTCAATCGCCTCTATTCCAATAATATATTTCCCTCAGATCACAATATAGGGAAACAGAATCCATTGCTATATTTAAAAAGATTTCCTCAGCTTTCCTCACCATAGTCTGGATACTCTGCATAGGTGAGCCACAAGGCTGAAGAGCCTATATTGAGACAGATGATACTACCTTGGCCAAAGGTTACAAAGAATTGGACAATTCTTGGGTGCACACTATACGTGCCTATTCAAAAACAGTCCTCCGGTGTTATGCATGCCGTAAGTTCTTTTTTGAATTGAAACTATGAGAATAGAAGAATGACATTAGTCTGATAGTACCTGTTTTGCTGCTGACATTGCTTCACCACATTTTATGGTACAGAATACACCTAGATGATTTGATATGAAGAGAATTTCCATTCATTTTCTATGCAACTTTTTGGGCCTCTTGGCAGTGATTGTAATAGAGTTTGATTTATATTTGTTTTACTATGTTATAATTCCGCGGAAACGATGTCGCATAGATTCTCTTCACAGAAATAACTAAGAGAGAGGCGTACAAAGTTGGGGATGGATGTTGTGTAAGAATCATACGTCACGTAAGCAACTGATATCTAGTCTACCAACGAGGATTTAAGACACTCGATGTAGTGAGACAATACAAAAACAGCGAGATATTAGTTCCTTCTATATAAAAGAGAGAAACTTTTAAACATATAAATGTTAGTGATCCCCTAGCCAACCGAAAATACCGTATGTTCACTCACAGCTTGCTCAAACTACGACCCTTTTTGTAAAAAATGACTGTTGTAGAATGGAACACTGTAAGTTTTGTTAATAGGGATACTCCACCAACTATCACGACGGAGGAGATTGATCTTGATACTTGCTTTGAAGATAATCAGATCGTTATTGAAGTTTATTCTGCCGCATTGAATCCAGTAGACTTCATGCTCCATAAGGCTGCTGTTCCAATGTTATCGTCAGCAAAACCAAAGGCTTATGGAAGAGATTTTTCTGGTGTGATCATTAGAAAAGGTAATAAAGTGTCCAATGAGTGGATGGTGGGTGATAAGGTCAATGGTATGATAAATTTCTTATATGCACCACACGGTTCTCTTTCAAATTATTTAATTATTAATCCAGAGAGAAATCCTTCGATGATTCACATTACACCTGGAACGAAAGAATTAATGACTCTAGAACATAATGAATTCGATATTAGTAGTTCATGGCCTGCAGTATTTGGTACTGCTTATGCTGCTATATTCTATCCAGGTAGAGATTGGTCAAAGATTAACAATGTCCTAGTACTAGGTGCATCTACACAAGTTGGGAATTGTTTTGTTCAAATAGTGAAAAATTATCTTAATGTTAAGAATGTTGTGGGTGTTTGTAATGAAAATTCAATTGAATATAATAAAGAATTTGGTTATGATTATCTAGTTAGTTATAATAATGGCAAAACTGTTGAAAATGTTAAAGAAATTATGGAAACTAAATTAAATGGGGAGAAATTTGATGTTATATTTGATTCATGCGGTTCATCTGATTTCCTACCAGTAATGAACGATTTTTTGAAACCAAAATCAACAAATTCTTACTATTCTACTGTTGTTGGAGATTCTGTGTTTGATTATAAAAACATAGAAACTTTAAAAACATTAAAATCAAGATTACTTGTAGAACCCTATCGTAGGTTTAAACCATGGAGATCATATAACTACTATTTCGTTGCTTATTACCCAGACCATAATATTGAAGTTCTTGGAAATGAAATGATAGAAAAGAAACAATTCAACCCTCAAATTGATTCATCATATAAATTTCAAGATTTTCAAAAAGCAATTGATAGAATAATGAGTGGGAGGTGCAAGGGTAAAGTCATCGTTCAAATAAAGAAACCGGATGATATATAGACCTTATATATACATATATATGTATTAATACATATTTTTGATATGAGACCCAAGCTCAACCACCATTTAAGGAAATTCGCTGTTCAACGTCCAGAGTAGGCATTTATTGTTTCCATTAATGTCATTAGCCGTACAAATGTTGGTTGTTCGACTTAGGAAATCAAAAGGTATTTTTTAGCAAGTAGGGTAAAAAGAACATTTGATAACGACCTCATAAAGTTGAGTTAAATAAATTTACGGCCCAAAAAAAGTTGTACTATTATTTCTTGAAACTTGTTCAATTCCCAAACTTGATTAATTGGCACAGATGAATATCTCAGTTATACAAAGATGATACTGAAATATTAATTGTAATATTTGGTGTCTTATTTTTCGTTCTTATATTTTTTATATGGAAGAAAAACCTTAATTCGCACTTTATGAACTAGTACCTTAAAACCTAATAACTCTTTCATATGAACCCACAAAGAAGTTCCCTTTCAAACAGCTAGTTGGAATAATTCCTAGAGGCCCATCTTGCCAATCAAAAGAGAGATATTCCAATGTTAACAGGTTTGCATTTACCTCTCATTTCGGAGTAAATGCAAGCAAGGTTATTTAATGAATTAGATGGAAGATCTAGATATACAGAAATGATCAATAGTATATAGATACTTATATCCATCATCCTTGATTATCAGGATTATGACCAAATATATATTATTATTATCATTAGTTTTAACAGTTTATGAATAGGGGTACTGCAAAACAGGTAGAATCTTTTTCTGGTCCTTCCAAATCTAGATCCAATTGCAAAAAGATAAATAAACTATAATAAAACACGTAAGAAATAAAGACGTTATATTAATAAAGCCAGTAATCAAAATTGCATTGAGAACAGTCTCACCAAAAGTATTTTCGCATAGATCAATAAGAGCCATTAATGTCGCATTGCATGTATTAAGAGAAATCCATGATAATACCATCATCGTTAAAAAATGTTTCAGTATTGAAATGGCGGATGCCACTCTTTTCCAACAGCTAATGTCTGGTTTTCCTTCATGGCTTACCCCGTTCTTATTATCAGTAGAGGCATGGGTAGTATCTGTTTTTGAAGACACTTCAATGGTATCCTTTGAGCTGATAAGTCGTTTTCGAAGGGTGATAAAAATGGCTATCGAAATGAACAAAATAACTATCATATTAAAGTCTTTCACAGAGTTGTATCGATAAAATATTATGTTCTCCAATGTGGCAAACATTCTAGAGCAATCAAACATAATAAGTTTCATAAATTGTTGATACAGTTTGCAATTTGGATTATTTTCCTTTTTGTTATTTTTGGTGGTTTACCAAGGCTAACTAATAATATGGAGCAACGTTTAAAGGGTGTATAATTTTGACGCAAAAGTTCATCCGAATGGCACCAATAAAATAATAAATTCTACAACCAACTTGTTCCTTCAATTCGACCAGCTATTTCTAGTTACCTACATTTTGCAGAATGAGGAATTGTAAACTAACAATTGTCGTGAGAAGGTTAATTTTCAATTTGATGTTTGTCACTGGCTGGTCATCTGATAATAAGAATAAATTCCAAACTTGGCTGCAACATTAAAGAAGCTCACAATAGTTTATTTGTTACGAAATCAGACCTTTTTCCGGGAAGCTTCAAAGATATTTTCCGAAAAATAAAATACTTCAAAAATATCCAAAAAGTTTTCTAGAAGCCATATGGGAATCGGTACTTCTATAAACAGAAATTTATTTAATTTCATTGTAGTATTCATTTATCTCCATTCTGAGAGAAACACCACACAATCGGCAAAATGAAACCGTGAATTTATCTCGACCGTATTTAATAATTTAGTATTAATCAGTTGCCTTCGCAATGATAAAATATAATGTTGTACTTTGTAATATACAACAACTTGAACTGTATTTTCAAAATTCATACACACAACCACGTTACTGCAACTAATATTAGCTACTTTTTGGGATTGTTTTTTCTCAAAAGTTTCGATAAATGTCACTTTAATTCCTGATTTTGATAAAACAATATATGAGAGAGTGACTAGCTACTTTGTTTTTTATTAGTATTTTAGGTTATATGGAAATGGAAGTAGGAATTTCTCTTATTAAAAAGTAAATTTCTATCCTTCAAATCTCTTACATAATATTGAAATTGTAGATAGCATTGCTAAAACTCTATCTCAAAATCGTATGTGACAATAATATCATGCATTCAGACATTACATACTATTATTAGCATACACAGTTTGTCTACTTAAAAACGCGTAGTAAAAATCACTTTTGAAGTGTGCTCTTCGAAGCTGTACGGCAATTTCTGAGGTCTCTTCGTTGAAAAAATAGCGTGTGTAGTTACGCAGAATTTGAAGGCTGTGAACAATATTTTAAAGTATGGATTATATATATCTTAATAAGCAGATTTTAGGACACATATATTTAAATACAGAATCCCTACTAAATTACACAGATGATGTGGTTGGCAATCCTTCTGTGTAAATTGTTTTCTCTATGAGAAGTGGAAGTTTATGAGAACCCGGAAGCAGCTGTTTCTGATACCGAGAATTTCACTAATATCAGATATCATCTTTTAATAATGACAGTAAGGTGACTTTTTTTTGACCCGGAGGCTACCAGAATACCAAGAGAGGGGGTTTTCTGTTTATATGTAGAGAACAGAACTTCTGATGAACTTCCTAGGTCGTTGATGAGAAACAATTGATCAATATTTTTGTACGGTCCATCTGTATCATATTTCTACTATGGATGAAATATAGCAAGAAATATAACGGTTTCTCAAAGAATAAAATGCACCAAACAGATATCAAGTACGTAATACCTGGCCACAATAATTTCATAAGTAAAATGCATGACCTAGAGAGACTAAATAAAAAATTTGAAGGTAGGGGGCAAAGGAAAACCCAACATCTGAGCAGTATAAAAAGAAAAAGTTAAATGTTTTCAATTTTTTTTTTTCCGCAGTTACAGTCTTTCTTTCTTTGGTAATTGTTATTTTTTTAATGCAATCTATGCGAAAGTCAGTGTACCGATCGTCTATATTGTATACACAAATGTTACAACAATTAATAGAAATTTTTACACGGATACTTTATTCTTTCGTTTTACCAATATTAATATCCAAGACACTAACAAATAAGTATCATGTACGACCATATTTTATATTTTTCCTTATTATTAATTATAGGTATTTCAACAACCTTGGCTGTTACTACGAATGAGTCAAAGGTTTTGGAATTTTCCAATCATGGTAATAAGCACGTAGTGCTTACCCAGATACATATGGATTTAGCTCACTTTGAAAATCACACAATTCCAACAAATATAGATAGTTGTGAGAGTCCACGTAATATTTCATGGCTAGATACATCAGATCTCGAAGTTTACTGTAGAAAAAAAAAAATAAGCAGCAACTCAATTTCTCTCTCAAATAAGCCTGCTAATATATCTAAATGTGAATCTTTACACCTCAAAATGGAAAAAAAGGTGTGTAAGCACCGAAATATTGTCAATGAAGTATATCAACTTGGTTATGATTTCTGGAGATCTACCTATTGGGGTGGTTGTAACACTGAATATGGAAGTAGTGGTGGTTTATACTATAAGTACTATCATGTTGAAGGGGATTGTAGCCATCCCATTGACCAGAAAACAGTAATTGGTGCTATTCAATATACTATCAAGGAATTAGATGATGGTAAGATTCGTAAGACATATTTTATTCTTATAAAACATCATGGTACTTGGATTGGGACAATGGTTATAGGTTCTTCAATTCAAGCGTGGTATAGTAACATCGGATCGAGTGAATATAAGGGATGTTGGGATAATGGATACAATGAACTGCATTCTCCTTTCAGTTGTGAATCTAAGAAGGATGGCTCATCATTGTGACTTATAAATCATAATCAATCCTTTATTTTCGAAAACGTCACAACTCAAAATGTAATGAAAAATAAATAATAAATAAATAATAAAT